CGTTGGTTAGTGGATCAATTCTCTTCGTACCTGGGCCATCAGACGCGTGTACCAATCAGTTCTCAATTTCGCAGGTCCTTGCTAGCATGGAGGGGTATACCGGGAAATGCATTGAAACTAGACGATGGTATCAGACCATTTGTCCCGAATGGATCCCGGCTCCCTTTTCCTGTAATTCTTCCCCATTGCCCTTCATTCACCTTCTTGTTGTCCGCACATACATTGGTCACAATGAGGGCTCCGCGAGCCGTCAGAGTGCCGAATGGCGGTCTGTTTGCAGGCGCAAAGCCTCAGACTCGGGATGCACGACACTTTAGCTTTGCCGCCAGCGTGAAGCCCTCGACGGCGAACACGACAACGACGACATGGAAGAAGCAGCTCGGCCAGAACTCCGTGCGCGCCTTCTCGACGACCCCGAGGGTCAGGGACGCCGCCGCCGAGGCCCTCAAGCTGGCCCAGGACAACGCCTCCGCCCTCACCCCCGAGCTCGTGGCCGCCAAGATGAGCCCCGAGGAGGCGAAGCGCCTGTCGCGCGTGCGCAACATTGGCATCGCCGCCCACATTGACAGTGGAAAGACGACGGTCACGGAGCGTGTCCTCTTCTACTCGGGACGTATCAAGGCCATTCACGAGGTCCGCGGCAAGGACTCGGTCGGCGCCAAGATGGACTCGATGGATCTCGAGAGAGAAAAGGGCATCACCATCCAGTCGGCGGCTACCTTTGCCGACTGGAAGAAGACGGAAGACGGAAAAGAGGAAACCTACCACATCAACATCATCGACACCCCCGGCCATATTGACTTCACCATCGAGGTCGAGCGCGCCCTCCGCGTCCTCGACGGCGCCGTCATGATCCTGTGCGCCGTCAGCGGCGTCCAGAGTCAGACCATCACCGTCGACCGTCAGATGAAGCGCTACAACGTCCCCCGCATCAGTTTCGTGAACAAGATGGACCGCATGGGCGCCAACCCCTGGAAGGCCGTCGAGCAGATCAACACCAAACTCAAGATCCCCGCCGCCGCCATCCAGATCCCCATCGGCGCCGAGAACGAGTTTGAGGGCGTCATCGACCTGATTGAGAGAAAGGCACACTACTTTGAGGGCCCCCGCGGCACCGTTGTCAGGACCACCGACGTCCTCCCCGGCGGCTACAAGGACCTCGTCGAGGAGAAGCGCCAGGAGCTCATCGAGAAGCTCGCCGACGTCGATGACGAAATGACCGAGCTCTACCTGGAAGAACAGACCCCGACCAACGCCCAGATCAAGGCCGCCATCCGCCGCTCCACCATCGCCCTCAAGTTCTCCCCCGTCATGATGGGCTCCGCCCTCGCCGACAAGGGCATCCAGACCGTCCTGGACGCCGTCTGCGACTACCTCCCGAACCCGTCCGAGGTGGAGAACCAGGCCCTCGACAAGAAGCGTGATGAGGCCACCGTCAAGCTGGTCCCCTACAACTCGCTCCCCTTTGTCGGCCTCGCCTTCAAGCTCGAGGAGAACAACTACGGCCAGCTCACCTACATTCGCGTCTACCAGGGCAAGCTCCGCAAGGGCACCTACCTCTTCAACTCCCGCACCGACAAGAAGGTCCGCATTCCCCGCATCGTGCGCATGCACTCCAATGAGATGGAGGACGTCAACGAGGTCGGCGCCGGCGAAATCTGCGCCGTCTTCGGCGTCGATTGCGCCTCGGGCGACACCTTCACCGACGGAGGTCTCCCCTACACAATGTCCTCCATGTTCGTCCCCGACGCCGTCATGTCCCTCTCCATCAAGCCCAAGCGCACCAGCGATGCCGACAACTTTTCCAAGGCCATGAACCGCTTCCAGCGCGAGGACCCCACCTTCCGCCTGCACGTCGACGACGAGTCCGAAGAGACCATCATCTCGGGCATGGGCGAGCTCCACCTCGAAATCTACGTTGAGCGCCTCCGCCGCGAGTACAAGGTCGACTGCGAGACCGGCAAGCCCCGCGTCGCCTACCGCGAGACCGTCTCCCGCAAGACCGAATACGACTTCCTCCTCCGCAGACAGTCCGGCGGTCCCGGAGACTACGCCCGCGTCGCCGGCTGGATCGAGCCCCACGACGACCCGGAGGCCAACTTCTTCGAGACCCAGGTCGTCGGCGGCACCATCCCGGACAAGTTCCTCACGGCTTGCAGCAAGGGCTTCGAAGAGGCCGCCCTCAAGGGCCCCCTCCTCGGCCACAAGGTCATTGGCACAAAGATGATTGTCAACGACGGCTCCACCCACGTGACCGATTCCTCCGACTTCGCCTTCAACCTCGCCACGCAAATGGCCTTCCGCAAGGCCTTCAGCGAGGCCGGCGGCCAGGTCCTCGAGCCCCTGATGAAGACCACCATCACCGCCCCCAACGAGTTCCAGGGCAACATCATCATGCTCATGAACAAGCGTAACGCCACCATCCACGACACCGAGGTCGGCACCGAGGACTTTACCCTCATCGCCGACTGCAGTCTGAACGCCATGTTCGGCTTCAGCTCCCAGCTCCGCGCCGCCACCCAGGGCAAGGGCGAGTTTGGCATGGAGTTCAGCCACTACGCCGCCGCTCCTCCCCACCTTCAGTATGTTGACACCGATAACCCCCTACTACTCTTAGCAGTATAGTATCCCTGGCCATAGGTAACTAACAACCATTACAGAAAGGAGCTTTGCGCCAACTACGAGAAGGAGTTGGATGCTAAGCGCACCAAATAAGCCACCGGACGATAAAAACCCCCGTTCCCTTTAAGGGGGGCGGGGGGTTGACACTTGCATCCGGGAATGTGCTGACAACCATGGCACGCCAGTGCCCCGTGTATCAACAGCGAAGCCCCCCCTTCCCGTCCGCGAGGCCTTGAGCAATCGCACGAGACGGGACGGAGGCTCATACGTCCCCGCCTACTTGGGCGGGCGTATGTAAACATGTATATCTAATGTCACGTCAGGATTCTTGTAGAAATCTGGACGTAAGGAAAAAATCCACCTTCTATAGGACCTTGTACGGAGACAGGGTTGTGTATAGGGGTAATGCGATTTATGATAGAACTAGACTTTGAACAATACAAGCCTCGTCTTCTCTCACACATCCGGTCGTTGGTTGGCTTTTTTGGGGGGGTCTCTGCTGCCTGTCTACCTGCGCTTGAGAAAAAAAAAGCACCTTCGTGAGACGTGTGCTGATCTCTAGCCATGTACAGTCACTTTCTGCTCGTCCTAGACAACCCGTTTAACCGGCCTCTTGGATGGCAGCGTCAACTGTCTTCGTGGACGCTTGATGACAGCAGAGCTAGATCTCTCACTAGTATGCCAGTAATACGGCGACGCAGGCTTCTCAGGGGCACTCAAAAGCGCATCTGCCCGTCATTGTCAGCAAAATCTTTACCCCCCCTTCACCACTCTTTTCCTTTGTCTCACAAATCACGCCGGGAACCCATCCGATAACCGTCAACACCACCGCGAGACCGACCCGTGCATTCACATGATGGTCTGCCGCCCCGCGATAGACAGCCACCGGAGGACACGCGATCGCAACGATGGTATCCCTGTCGAGGCGGCGGCATCGCAGGCATCGCAGGCATCGCGGCGAGTTTGGAGGCGCGGGCCCGGGGGGCAGTGTGATGATATAGCGGACGACGCTGCCGCCCTCGGATTTCGAGGCTGTCCGCGAGAGCGAAGAGGGCGTTCGTTGACTTTGGCTGAGGCCGGTAGAAAGGATGCGTTTGAGGGTGGACTGGGTGCCGGACCAGAGACTGCGGAGGCTCGTTGATCTGCTTCTGGTGCTTGCTGGCGACAGGTTTCCCGTGGAGGACATGGCTTTTACAGAACTGTCTTGAGGTGTGTGTCTCGAAAAGAGAGGTTTCATAGGAGATGCAGGAGCGATTGATGGTCTCTGAGTCTTGGAGGAGACGGCCGAAACTTGGCTGGCGAAACACATCAGCTGCCAATGCTCAAGGAAGGCACCGACCGGGTCGTCGCAGTCCAAGTAGTCGACGGCTGCAGCACCTTCCCTCCCTGATTTACTTACAGTTTACTTCTTCCATCACATGTACTGCCTGGGAATGAGAACACTGGCATCAAGTAGGGTAGCATCATGATGCCACCTGGATGCCACCTCTCCATGGAAGTGGGGGTCAACAATAGACTGACGAAGGCGGATTTCCGTATATGGCTGCAGTAGTAACCCCATCTACGGTACCTACCATGCATATGCTCGAGCATGGGCACGAGGTCACCTCCCTAACCTTGTTTGAGATAACCGTGAATCACAACGCGATTGCCAGAGCCAATATTGTTTGTTCTCTTGTGTAGAGGAAAAATGACAAGCCATTGGTACGTTGAGCGCGTAGGCTCTTACTATGTATGGCGCAGCAACTTCTCTAACTCGCTTTGGTATCCTTTGTACTCGTTTAATCCGGAACGAGATTCGCCAAACGCCATTATCCGGTTTGCCGGAAAGCTATTATACAAACGAGATTCAAGGCCTTGCCTCAGGAATGCAAGCGCCCTATCCACCATGTATGTGTTTTCGCCCTTCAAGATTTCTTATGTACCAACAAAACAACCTCCAGGTGTTCATTCGCTTGTAACAGGCTCATTACTTTCAGCCGTAATCATCAGATTGAGTATGGTCCGCACGATTTCAAGCTGGGCCGTCACCTATCGTCGTGAGGTCTGGCGCTGGAAGGTTCTATCACAATTGACGGCACTTGCTGCAGTCGTAGACTGGGTAATCGTGGCACTCCTGAGTGCCGGCGCTGGTCTGCAGAGCCATTCGCGGTTTGCTCATCGGCTGCCAAATCGGCCATGCTTGATGCAATGCTCTCCGCCCGCTGCTGGGCAGGACCAGGGTAGGTCGGCGGGGGCTCAGTGCCAGGCTGGGGAGTATTGCTCCTGGATCGCTCGTCATTAAGCGAGACTTCGTCATAACCAGGTGGAGAGTAGATGGGCATGCCGGCGTCTCCCACGTCAGCTTCAACGACTTCCGGACTGGAACCTGACCGGGTATCCAGGCGGGGTGTATCTGGCCGCGAATTTGCCCGTGTCCTTGCAGTAAATCCTGGTGAAGGGAGGTCGCTTTCTATGCTCATTACGGAGCTGCCCCTCCTGTGATTCGTGGCTGATTCGGCGCCGGATCGAATGGAGGTGGCGGCAATACTGGCGGAATCCGAAAGTAACCCCATCCTCTCGCTTTCATTACTGTTGGCTCGAAGTCGAGTCCCGTCGTGACGGGCAACGCCAAGGTCGGCGTAGGAAACACTGGAAACAGCTCTCTGACGTTCATTCTTCAGGCGTTCATGTTCTTCGCGGAGGGCAGCGACAACACTGTTGTTGGTAGCAGTTTGGGCTCTCAACCGGATGTTGTCCAGAGCTACAAAGTCACCACGCTCCCGAGCATCCCGGCGCTCTAGTCTCCGTTCCTCTCTCTCAGCAAGCTCCTGACGGCGGGCTAGGCGGATCTGGTAAAGAGCCTCCATCTCCTGATCACGCAGACCCTCCTCTGTTTCTTCTGTGGGATACTCGATGACAACATCGACACCACCGCGTTCGCCTTCGCGGCCCAGGACTTGCTCCGTTTCGTTCGGATCAGGCCGGTAAGCAGGTAGCGTCATAATCGAGCGGATCGAGGTATTGCGGTTGACAGCGCTATTGGGGGAGCGAGCGTCGGCCTGCGACTGATCGGCCGAGGCATCGAACGCAACAGATGAGGGGCGGGAGCGCCGGCGGTCAGTCAGTCGTTCCGTGGAGGTGGAGTCTACATCCTGAGCTTGGCGGTATCTGTTTCGGCCGGCGCCGTTTTTCAATATTGACTTGAAAAAACCACCGCCACCACCGCCGCCGCGGGGTTTCTTATTGTTGCCGCGAGTAGAGCGACGAGATGCGCGGAGGGAAAAAATGACAAAGGCGATGAAGATGAGGAAGACCAGTACAGCGAGGATGACCTAGAGTAGCGATTGGCGTCAGCGGCTTAGTCCAAGGTGGCGGAGGACAGGGAAGAGTCCTTCACATGTCTCGTCACTTACAATTGTGGTGATTTTCTTTCCGTCCATTTCTTCACGGCGTTGCAGCGTCGCAGGGGGTCCATTCTGTGAACTGGAGGCCAGACCGAGTGGTATTCGCATTTTGAGGTACATTGTGTGAAACGAGCGACAGTATTACGATTGAAGACCGGAACGGATGGGTCGGCGGTTTAAGGTCGAGAGGCGCTGGATAGTGAACGGCAAGGCGGATTAAGGCGGGGCGTCCCAGCTGCGCAAAGCGAATAAGAAGCGTCAGGACTGGGACATTGAGGCTCGGTGACTGCGGTAGCGATTATGGGTACGTAAGGCGGTGCGGGCGACGGGCAATGTGTTGTGGAAGTGGGAGAAGGCGAGTGGTGATATGGGAGAGAAAGAAGGAGGAAAGCAGCAGCAGTCGGTTGGTTTGGCGGTTGGAGGTGAGATGAGGTGAGGTGAGGCGAGAGGACTGACGGGACCAGGTCCAGGCAAGGTGTAGGTTGGTAGTAGCGATGCGGTGGTGGTACTGGCACAGGGTCAACGGTCAACCTCGTAGGTCCGGGTCCAGATGTACGTACACTGGTTGTACCTCTTCTCTGTACGCAGCGCAGTGCAGCGCAGTGGGACTCGGGCGGTCGTGAGCGACGAAGGGTCCTTTCGGGTGGGTGAGTGGGTAGGATGGATCCGGGAAGGGTGTGAGCTAGTGAGGCTGGGAGGCACGGAGCAGCAGGTCGGTGCCTTGCCCTTGAGTTTGCGTGCTTGGTCTTGGTCGCGGTGCAGGAGGGAGGCGGAGGCGGAAGCGGATGAAGGAGAAGCAGCAACGTTGCTGGCTCGGATTACCGCTGTCGAATGTCTTTGGCGTCGTCTGAGTAAAGCATTCAAGATGGGTATCCGTACTCTGTATCCGTAATAAGCGTGTTGGAGGCGGCAATTAGGATGACGGGGTCGGTGGCTTGATGTTGGGTGAGTAAAGTCCAGTCTCTATGTCGGAATGGAGAAAGATGGAGAGTTGCTGGTTGCAGAGAAAGGAAGGGTGGGAGGAGGTGGGGGAGGAAAAGCGAAAAGACGGAGTCGAGGCTGATGTCGCGGTCGATGTTGCGGGTGAAGACGAGGATGCGGATGCGGATGCCTCAGCGCAACGCAGGAGCAGAGCATTTCCAATTTGCGGGAGGCAGGAGGCATGAGCTGGAGCAGGATGCAGAAGTGGATTGTTGCAGCTGGCCACGGCCGGGCCTGGGCCGGGCCTGCAGCTGCTGTTCCAATCGCAGTCTGCGGTTGTCGTTTCACAGGTACCTCATCTGCCACCTACTCCAGCGTGAGGAACCAGGTACCTCGCGAGATAAACCTTTCGAGGTGGGCCGCCTCTCAGCTTACTCTAGCGTTGCTCGTGTATGTTCCTTAGTGGGTGCCGGCGGCGGGAAGAATCTCTGCGCTAACCTTCTCAAGAACCTACACAAGTACCTACCCTACCTTACTCAACGTTCCACGTTGCTGTGCGCCGCCCATCCCGTTGCAACTCGTGGGAGACGATTCAAGTCGTCGCGTCCACCCTCCCCCTCTCTGAGTCTCTCCCACTTTCCACGCATGCAGCTGCACTGGACCCCGCGGGTCGGGCTCGAGTCAATGCCACTGGGACTCGCTGTCAATGATACCAGACAAGACAATCCGGACCATCTTCAATGCCGCTCCCCGTTGACATAGGATGGCAGGCCGGCCGAACCATGAACCAACCAACTAAACAACCAAAACTCAAAAGTACGACGTGATTTGACTTTACCCCAAATCAGCGAACAATCTCGGTACTAAAAATGTCTAAATGATGTGACCATAAGACCAGACAGACGACTGGCAAACACGAGCTGGACGAAGAGCAAACAATGATCCTTGTTTTTGTTTATCAATCAATCGCTTTTCGAACAGGAAATTGAATGGAATCAACCCATCTTCCTCCGAGCTACACCGAGGGACTGAAGATTCCATCGACCGCACCGCCGCCCATCCATTGGAGTCCGAAAGCCAAATCAGGACGACACATTTGCGATTCGAGATGATGGTCGCTACGTCAGATATTACCCAGGGTCCCCAACTTCCAGTCAGCCCAACCCAGACTATCGGGGCGTGAGGCGGTGCCCAGGGCGGTGTTGGTGTTGGCACCAGTCTTGTCAGTGGTCAACTGAAGCACCGCACAGGCTACAGCATTGGCGCTTTCATTGTCACTGGCGATCCCATCGCGGCGGCAGCCTGTCCATGTGGCTTGCGGTTTACTGCAACGGTACCATTCGACCCTTGAACTTTTGGTCCACGAAAGGTCGAAATCCGATCAGCTTGCTCCATCGACCTCCCGGTCTTGACTCGAATCCACGAGTGACATCAGACGAGACGCTCTCTTCCACACGACGACGAAATCATCGCATCTGTCCTTGACAAAACGTTGCTGTTGCCGGCCCTTTTCTGATTTCATGCCCTAGGGCATTGATTTCGGTTCCGTCGCCTGCCGTGTCACGAAATTTAAGCATCAGCAGGGGCCTGCTCAGGAATGCAGTCGCCTTGCCATGCCGCCATTTGGCTTATGCTTCTCAATTGAATTGAACCCACTTGGTCAAGAGGAGTCGAGCGCCGTGTGTGTGCCCAGTATATTCTCCAGTTCTGCCCGGTATTGGTATACTATTTCCAGCAACAAGCATCATGGCCCAGCAACTGTGCAACGACGACCAAGCAGGATCAACGCACATGAAAGATTAGAACGGCTCCCACCAGCCACCGCCAGCTGCCCCTCTCATGATCAACGTTCATCTGCTGTTCTGCCAAAGCCCACAGACAAGGCAGGGTTCCCCGGGACAGCTAAGGCAAGTTCGGCTGTGACTTGTGAGAACGTTAACCGCCAATATTGGGGCTGCCTGGCAGCTCGCGAGCCAATTGAGGAATGGCAGGGATGCCCCGCCGTCTCTCGCACTGCCTCATCTGCATCATGATGACCATGTGGCTGGGGTGGGAGGGGCTGCGTGAGCTTACTCCAGCGCACAGCGCAGGCTTCGCTATCAATCAGATCAGCCCAGGTGCCTCATCATCACACGAAAGCTGCTGCAGCCCGTTTCGAAGACATACCTCACATGCCGTTCCCTCTACATCTGATGCACGGTTGCGAAATCAACACCTTGGCACTAGGACAGACGCACGAAACATCAAGACTTTCTCCAAGGCGCAACGCTATTCAGGAACGAAAGCCCAGCTATCATGCAAGTCTAAGACAGATGCACCTGCTGTCTTAGACATTGCTATACGCCGTCTTAACCCACCCAATCGCCTAGCGATACCCTCTCATTCGTCCACCTTCGTGAGTAGCGCTGACAGGAGAACGACAACCGGCCATCTCGCACAGCAGCAGTCGCTTGTAGGGCAGCCGGCCGTGCCTCGGGTCGGACGACCTAAAAGTTAGGCCCATTCCGTCAGCCATTCGAAAGCGCCGTCCAGCCCGCCCCCCGCGCGAAATCTGGATTTATTCCGCATCAAGGATAAGGCGGCGCAACGTTGAATCGGCTCTCTCAACGTGCCACAATCCTGACTTATACGAGTTGAGGCTTGGTCCCGCTCTGTCAACTCATTCAGGGAGAACGAATTGTGGTGTGTTTTTTTGATATTCTGGCTGGCCGACTGTCCAAAGGGGAACCAGGGCACAAAAATCAGAGGTGAAAGAGAGGTATTCTTCTCCTTGGTGCAGAGCAAGGCAGAGAGAGCCCTTACACCTGGCAGCCCCATCCCGCTGTCGCACGGAGACCTGTCCACTGTCAGCTGCAGCTCGCAGGATTCACCACCACGCATTAAATTCTGTGCTATGAATCCTACCAACCTGTCACCGCATGCCGAGACCAAGAAGCCTCCTCGCTTTGCCACTTGGGAGAAGCTCGATCTGACAGAGCAGCATTCCGGCCCCCAAATGTCGCAAATTCATCCCAGGCCACCACGTTGTAGATCGCATCCGTGCATGAAATATAACTGCCGATCTACACGATACTGTGAAATTGGCGTGCTCTGCTTGCTCTGCTTGCTCTGCTTGCTGCCTATCTAAGTTAGGTGGCAGAGTATCCAATTGATATCAGCCAGACGGATACACTTGCTTAACGTGGCTGCCTACCCCTACTAAAATCAGACTTGGATCGATGATAGGTAGTAGATAATACTACGACCTCTTTTGGTGTTTTGGTTAGGGTTATGGACGACGCATAGATAGACGTTTCGTTCAAGACGGTACGAGATTCGTCGATAGCTGACACAGCGCATTGAGGCAGAAGCGAATGATTGCTACCGAGAGGTGTTTCCATCCTCATCTTTAAATCAGACTGGACGGATGGACAATGATGGGACAACCCGTAACCCATAATATCAACACCTCACTCTATCAGGAGAGCTGCTTCTTTCCAAGCTGTTTATGTCTTTCTTCCGGCATCTGATTCAATATCACTGCAATTTGTCGCGCCTTGTGGAAGTTGATATGTATGATTGTTTCCGACCATTGTAGTGAGGAGGCTGGCTGCTTGAATGCATCAACTGCGGCCAGAATCCATCCTTATGAGCGTTATGAGCACAGTTTTGCAATGGATGGCAGTCTAGAAAGTAGGGGTAGCGATGATCAAAGGCCCCCGATTGTGATTGGAAATGTATGTTTATAAACTAGATTGCACTACTGGTAACTACTCTGGATCCCCTCCTGTTGAAGAGGAAGGGGGGGGGGACAAGAGTGAGTGTTCGTTCACCAGTCCCCCAGACTCTGCGGTTTCTCCTTGGATTCTCCAAGGTGAAAATTGAATGAAGCCGCCTAAGTCATTGGAAAATGATTGTGACATAAATAGCATTGTCCCGGCGGGTTAATTGGGTAGCAGCAAGGTCGCTGGCGAAGTTTCTCACCCAAGCGAAAGACCAAGTGGTTGACAACGCACGCGATTGATTAGAGCACCCGGCGGGCACATAAAGACGCGTTCTACTCAATGTCTCATTACCCTGCCATACCCAATTAGAGAATAAAAAAAGAAGGGAAAAAAAAAGAGAGAACTCCGAAAAGAGAAAAGTTATCGGCAATGAGGAACCCCCCCGCCTTCCTTGCCCTCATCTCCCGTGCAGAGACCAAATTCCTGCTCTCCTCTCGCATTACCCAAACTTCTTCTCAAACTTTCTCAACATCCCCGTGACGCCCTTCTCCAATCTCCCCACATTGCTCTCCAACTTGCCCGACGGGTCCTGCTTGCCCGTATACGCCTTGTGCTTGCTCGCCTCCATCTCCGTCGGCCTATACGCCTGCTGATGGATAGAGTAGTCAAAGGCCTGCTGCTGCTGCTGCTGCTGCTGGTTCGCGCCGGCGCTGATGCTATACGAGTACTGCGAGAATCCGCCCAGCGTGGGTGACATGGGCGCCGGTGCCGTTGCCCCCGGCGGCGCGGAGGCGGCGGTCGCCGTGATGGGCGGGGTCGGGGGAGCGTGGGCGACGGCGGCGGGTTGCTGCGGTTGAGGGGTTGCCGGCTGGGGTTGTTGAAGTTGAGGCGGCGGCGGGGGCGGTGGCGGCGCGAACCCGGGGGAGGAGGGGAACGGGCTCCCGTACGGATTGCCCAGCCCCGGCGACGCGAGGCCGCCGCCGTGCACGGCTTGTGCTGGCATCGTCACCGCGCGCTGGAGGACAGGCTGACCTCCCGGGTGCCCGCCGAATTGTGGCGGTGGAGGCGGGGGAGGAAGGCCGATCCCCTGTCCGCTCTGGAACCCGGGCGGCGGAACGAAGCCCGGCGAGAACGGGGCCTGCGCGTCGTAGGCGACTGCCGCGGCCAGGGGGTCGGCGACGCCGTCTTCGGGCGGCGGGGTCTTTTCTCTGTGTCGAATCGTTTCTGGTGCGGCGGGCGCGGCGGGGTTGTATGCCATTGGCACGAAGCTCGCCGGCTGCTGCTGATGCTGTTGAGGGTCCTGCTGCTGGGCGGGCGGTGCCGCGACGGCCGAGGTCGGGGGCCCGGCGAAGCCTGAGCCGTTTTGCGCGGGGGCGCCTCTCGGGGTGCCGTACGCTGGGTCCGATATCGCGACGTGCTCGAGCTGTTGGACTACGGAGCTCACGGGTTGGTGTTGCGTTTGGTGATGTTGGGCCTGATGGACCTGCTGCTGCTGCTGGGGCTCGTCGAGAATCTCGACCTGGGAGGGCGGGAGGACGAAGCGGATGCCGTTGACGAACTGGAGGGCGTCCTCGGCTTTCCAAAAGTAAATGTCGAGCGAGTGGAGCTTGTAGTGGTACTTGTTCTGGTTCTGGGGGTCGTAGGTGGGCAGGTGCCATTCCATCTGGTCCGTCGTGTCGCCTACGATGAGGGTCACCATGCACTGGTGGCTGTACGAGTATCGGACGTGCGTCTTGTCGAGGACTGTGAGGTTATGAATATTGATTAGCGAAGCTGCTTCCCGTGATATTGCGCCAGATCCAGCTCTAACTCTAGCTCTATCTCTAGCTGAAGCTCAAGCTCAAGCTTTCTAGAGATGGAGCTCAGAGAGCAGAAAGATAATTTGTACGCACATCCGTCAAAAGCATCTTGATCTTCTGTGCCGGGCTGGTTGGCAATCTCTATGCGCGCGCGGCGGTCGGTTGCGTTCTCAAAAAGGTAGACGTAAGAACCCTTGTCGAAGCGGTGGTGCGGCGGGTTGCTGGTCGGCGGGCCGTAGAAGTAGTGGACGTCTCCGAAGCTGTTGAGGGTTTGAGGCCAGTCAGCCGCCATTTTCATTTGTGTAGATTTGTGCCTCTATATGTATACAGCCGCAAATCCACGTCGTTTTCGGTTGGGTGTAGAGAGGGAGGGAGAAGGAGAAAGACCGAGAGAGGTCAGGTAATTGGGAGAGACAACACGAGCTGCTGCGCTTCTTGACCTTCCTTTACCACGTTGTCGGAAAGAGAACCAACAGGAGAATAAACTCACAGAGTAGCAACGTTTTCCTCTCCCGGCCGGGTCGCCATCTCAATGTGGATTTGCTCAGAAAGCGAGCGGCCCCCTCCGACCTTGCCGAACTTCCAACAATGCCAAACAAAGAAGCTCCAAGAATAGCTTCCTTGCTCTCTCCCCAAGGGGTCGGGACCAAACCCACCAGGCCGATGATCCGATTGACAAGCACAAGAGAGGCGCAACGCAAATTTTTTGGGTTGGTAAATTATTACCCCGCCTCGGTCAAGTACCTCCCAAGAAAAGATAAAGGTAGCCAAGGGCGGCAGCAGGAAGAGCCAACAAGCTCGTTACTGGGCGAAATTGAAGGAGATGTGTGTGGCACCTGGTTTATTTCAGGAACAAGATGAGAAATAAGGGGAGAAGAGTCTCGCACGAGGGAAAGGGGGGAGGATGGACCGTTTTTTTTTTTGCGCCGAGGTGTCGAGGTTTTGTGTAGTTTGCTTACTACCAAACCCAATCTCGACGACGACGAGAAGGATCCAAAAGATCCAAGGTCTCCTCTCTCCGTGTCCCTCTCGTGTGATCAACCACCCAATAACCTCTAGCCCTCCTCTCTTTTATCTTGGTACCACTCGGTAGCCAGACCGCCTCATGAAAAGAAAACCCTCCAGTGGCATGAGGGAAAAAAACCAAACAAACCACAAGTAACAAAAAGGAAGACCTCTCTACCTTGGGTCTTTGCGACCTCGCAACGCCGCCGGCGCGCGCCCGTCAACCCAATCCCCGCCATTTCCTCCAAGTCCCAGAGCTCTCGCAGACTAGACATGCGCGTGCCGGGCTTGCTTGCGTTGCGTCCGCTGTGAAGTACAAGGGTGGTGAGCTGCAGGTGGTCGCATCGAGTGGTCAACTCGGCGCTTACAGGACGTTGGGGACAACCAATCATGAGCTCCGGCCGGGGGCAGTGGCACGGGGTGGAGTCCGAAGTGCGCCGCCGTGGAGCACGGACCGGTTTTGGCTTGGCCGCTTTGGAAGTCTCCTTCTCAAGATGCCCAGGTACCAATGTACTGTCCATCTTAGTCATCATTCGACATCGGCTGGGCTGGGCGTGTCCAAAATTTTGGCGATAGCTTCCCTGTGGCTTGATTGCTAGGTGACGGGTAATTCTTCGCGGTACAACTGGAGCAGCTCGACGCGCAACGCACACTCCTTTCGAAACCTTCACAACTGTAAATCGCCGAATTGATTGTCAATTAACATCAGCCTAGCAAGCTCCCGCCCGTCAATTGCGCCCGGCTTTGCGTCAACTCAAATCGCCAACAACTGTCCCTTCACAGCATCGCGAGGACGACGACCTCTACTCCCGACCCCGAATCCACCCCAAACCAAGACACCCTCATAATCCCCGCGAGCCCTACAGGCTCCTCCCAACAAATCCACAATGGGCGGCCTAACAAACGTAATCAACATGTGCTCCCACCTCCAAAACGCTTCCCGCGCCCGCCTGGGCATGACCTCGGTCACAAACACAAAGCAAAACCTCAACCTCGCCCTCGCCCTCCACCGCTCGGGCTTCATCTCCTCCCTCTACCGCGGGGGCCCAACCCCGCCCGCCCCGGAACAGATGGGCAGAGACCCGGAACCCGTCACCTCGGCCAACGTCGCCACCCGCCGCCTCTGGCTCGGCCTGAAATACTGGAACAATGAGCCCGTCCTCCGCGGCCTCACCATGGTCACCAAGCCCACGCGGCCCATCAACGTCCACGTCGAGGACCTCGAGCTCGTCGTCAGGGGGTTCCCGAGTAAGACTGGTCTCGTCAAGGGGCTCGGGCTCGGGGAGTGCCTGTTCATCTCTACAGATAGGGGTATCTTGGAGGCGAGGGAGGCGCTGGCGAGGAAAGTTGGTGGTATGGTGTTGTGCCGGGCGAGATAAAGAAAAAAAAAAAGTAGATCTTGTAGGCAGGGGAAAAGGAAGGCGGCTTTCAGAGAAAGGACGATCTTGATTGCCATCTCTTTCGGCGAGAGAGAGTGTTTGAGCCTCGAAAAGAGGAGTCTTGGGAAAAAGAAGGCACCACAGGGCAGGCCTCGAAGCGAACCCGCGGCAGCTCTGTAGGAGCTTTGTCCTCCATATACTGTACAAAAGTTGTATTTTAGAGAAGACACGAACACACCACATTTGACACTTTTTTATTGCGCGTCTAGGTCTCAGCGGTGTCTACTCTAAGGGGTCACAAAGCTCGAGCTGCCTTTCCAAGAGCCAGCGTTCACAAGTGTAGAGCAAAGAATCAGTAACCCCGTCGAACCGTTCATCTGTCCAAAGAATCAATGGAATTCTGTTCGAGTGATATTCATTCTTTATAACTGATCTTGGGCTCCAGACACCACCTTCTCCATGCTCCGGAACCCTGAAAACTCTCAAGAAGTAATTTACGCCTTTTTGTCGGTCAGGTATCATGGTACACCCCAATGGTTTCTAAAACTATACAATCACCTCCGCCACTCTTCGACACGACTTCTTTCATGCAGTCCCAGTCTTGACTTCTGTGGTCGCCACATCGGGGGCCGGAGCCGATTCTGTCTTGCCCTCCGCAGACTCCTTCTCATCGGCCAACAGTTCCTCGAACTCATCCGGGCTCTTAAGCTCTTGGTCCTCAGTGTCTTCCTCCTCGAGGCCGAGCTTCGCAGTCTGTTGCGTGATGTCTTCGAGCTCGGGCTCCTCAACACGCTCCTCAGCGACGGCCTCCAGCTCAGATGCCGCACTTTCAGTGTCCTCGACGGGAGCCTCAACCTCGGCCTCCTTGGCCGGGCTGGCTTCCGTCACAGCCTCCTTGGTAATGGGCTCTGGTGTAGCCGGTGCCTTGGCCTCTGGGGTTCTTGGGGCCTCATCAATGGCCTCAGCCTCTGCAGTCTCAACGACCTTCTTGACTGGGGCCTCCTTCTTGCTGGCGAGAGGGCTGCCTGTGCGGCTTCCTGCCCGCACCGCTGCTGGCCTAGAGAGCGCTCTCTTGGGACTCCTTGAGGCAGAAGCCTTCTTGGCACTGCTTGGCTTTGCGCTTCGGCTTCTAGGAGGGGTGACGGGAGCCTTCTCTGACAGCTTCGAGGTTGAGCTCGCCGTGGGTCGCATCATGCGAGCCAGGAAGCCCTCGTCGACCTCCTTCTCCTTCTTGGTAATGGGGTGGTCCTGAAGGGGCTTCTTTGGCGGCGGGCCAATGCTGGGCCGGGGCCGGTTAATGACTGAGTTCTGACGCTTCAGAGTCTTGGGCGGCGCCGCAGTACCGGGCGCGCTCGCTCTGCTAGCCGGGCGGCCCTGGTTACCAGAGGCGCGCGACAGAGTCTCGCGGGGAGCCTCCTTGACTTTCTGGACGGATGCGGCAGTTGGGGCCATCAGCGAAGCAGGCAGCTTCACGGGCTTGGTGGGCGACTTGACCTTGGGCTTGACAAAACCAATGCCGCTGGAGGGAGAGACCTGCACAGGGGTGGGTTTCTTGCCGGCGCCTGCCGGTTTTGCGCCGGACTTGGGTGTCGACGTCGCCGTCTTCTCGGCCGGCTTCTTTGACGTGTCGTGCTGAGACTTGGGGGCGCTCGGCTTCGAGCCTGCTGCTCCCGTAGTAGGGGCCTTGGCAGTGACTGGAGATCTAGGCGGTGTCTTTGCCCTCGTGATGGTAGCAGGAGGTGCCAGTCTGGCAGGGATCTTGGCAGTGGTCTTTGCAGAGTCCTTAGGAGCTGCGGTCCTGGCGGTGTTAGTAGCGGCGGTGCCATTGGCAACGGGTTTCTCGGGTGACATTTGCGTCGGGTCACCTGGAAGCAGCTCTGGTGTAGGCGCCTCGACACCCACGTGTTGATCAAGGTTTTGGCTCAGGCGGTTGTTCAGGGCTCCCAAGTCTCGAGGTGAGGCTCCATTTGTTGGCTTGTCGGTGTCGGGACGGCGAGGAGACTCGGGGATGGGGCTGCCGACAATGTTTGTCTTGTACCCCACAGAGGTGTCCTCGGTGGCCATTGTCTTATCAGAGAGGCCAGACAGAGACGCCTCTCCCTCGGTGTGGCTGCTCAGTCTTCGCTGGGACACGCTCGACTCGTTGCTTGGATCTCGGCGGAGTCCTACTCTTCCGTCCTTTTCGACGGCAACAAAGCTAGTTCGGATTTTGGAGAGTGGGCGGGTTGATGATGGAGGAGGGGTTTCGGTGCCGTCTGCAGAGGTATCAAGTTAGCCAAAATGGATACACAATGGATATGTGGTGTTTGTGGAGTCGAGCTCATAGGTAGCCGTCTGCCTCGGGAAGCGGTTATCAAACCGAACTCCCGGAGAGCAGCTGCGTGCATTGCAATAAAGCTAAGAAGGACAGGGAAACTTACTGGAGGAGAGGCCAGGGGACCTTCCCCGATCCGGGGGGCTCGAGTCGGCTTTTTGCTCGAACATGGCCCGGAGGTTCTTGACGGCTGACATGGCGGCGGTGTTGGGTCGCTACCGAGCGACGTCTTTTCACCAAGTTGTTGGAGGAAGCTGTAAGGGGTGTATGGAAGTTGCGACAGGCGGTTCGGTTTGAGATTGAAGTTTGTAGGCAAGAATCGCGTGCGCCAGGAGTGGTGGGCTACAATGGTGGACTCGGGAGTTTGATGTTGCCAGAGGGAAGGCACATGCCCGGTCTGTTCTTTTGTCTGCGGAGGAGTCGGAGTGCAAATCGTGGTCGGAGGGCAGGTACACAATGTCGCGACGCAGCTCTCGTGGGTCGAGGCAGACGGCGCAGGGGTAGAAGGTGGCTCGTCGCGGCGGTGTCAGTGCAGCGGAGCGAGGCATACACTGCCCGACGGCTGGAGGATTGGGTGTTGGGCACGATTGGAGGAGTAGCGAGTTGCTATGACAGCTGGAGATGCATGATCAACGGATGGTCGGGGGTTTGGTTGTTGAAGCAGTCAAACAGAGGACGGCGGGATTGCGGCTGTTGCGTTGGGTGGTGTTGTAGCAGTTTGTGTTGGGCAATGTGTTGTTTGGATGTCTCAGCCAGAGTCTCGCTCGTCTCCAGGCCTCGGTAGGTAGGTTGAGTAAGGTGAAGCAGCCAGTCGCGCGTTTGCGTGTCCGTGTCGTTCACACCAGCAGACGGTTCAACTTGCAAGTGATGTAGGTGGGAGGAGAGTCAGAGAGAGTCGAAAGGTCGTCAGGGCACAAGATGCGAGTGCGGGTGCGGGTGGTTCGAGAAGGGGAAGAAAGGTCGCTGGCCTTCAGGGCTGGCATTTAAATTACGGACACCCCATAATCATAATTATAATCAGAGGCGGGAAAGGGACGGCCGACGTGGATATTTGGGCAATGTGCGTGACTGGATCGATGCAAACGAGCCAGAGGAGCCCACCGCGCCTATATCTCGACACTGCTAGCCATACATCCGCTGCTCTTTGTACTACCTTATCCAGTCTTGTCCATCCGTAACGACACAGTACACTTCATCATAGGGGCAATGGGTGAGGGGTGTGCGAGAGACCGGACTGGTTGGTTTTCAGGGGTTCCCATGGATGCACATGCTCACTACCAATTGTCCCGACGCGCTCGCCAGCCTGCCAGATGCAAGTTACACTCCTGACACCTTCACAAGGCGGTGGGATGTTATGTAAGACACCTAGCTCTTATGTACGAATAAGGTGCCTTACTTGAGCTCGAGTGGAGAAAAGATACCTTGCTCTAGTATTTATGCATCTACACATCGACTACTTTATGTACATAGCACAGGAGCGCACATACGCCTCCTCTTGCAGGACGCATGCACTGCTGCAGTAACCCACCCGTGTCACCGGCCCTGCCGCTCTGGGCCATCCTCTCTCGCTTCTCGAATTCGACTGCAGGGACCCCGAGTGGGAAACCCATTGGCCTAGCCGGGGTCAATTTTCCAGAGAACATGGTTCTGGAAGGAAGCTCATTTCCTCCGGGCCACTGCTCTGGTGTCGACCTGCGGCTTCTCCAGACAAGACGCAAGGACTGAGAGTGAATGACAAACCTGACAGTGACTCTTTTGGTTTCATCATTTTGGGTGGTGTGTGGTGAATGGTAAAGAGCCCTGGGATCTCATCACTGGCCCCTTTTCCAGTCCAGGTCCTTCTGATTATCCATCATTGGGCTCCAATCGAAGAGTCCAAGAGCCAGGACGAGGCAGAGGCCAGCTGGTCCCCAGTGACACCCCTCCCACCTAAAATGGGCGTTCTGAGCTGGACGGGTGATTGTGTCAACGCCGGCCGTGCCATAAAGCCTCAGTGAGAAACTCTGTTAGTGTTCAGGGCACGGGCAAATTGGAGAAGATGAAGAAAAGTGTACCCGGCTAGGTGGTTGGCGGGACGGTTGGTGGCCGTTGACGACAAATCATCAAACGTTTTCTCCGTCTTTTTCTCTGTTGCTTTGTCTCGTGTTGTCTCGAGCAGAGCCCTCTCGTGTAGTTTCAGATAACCTCTACAACTTCCTATTCGTTTTGTGCATTGGTGCGTATCTGCAGAGCCATCGCGTTGCTGCTTGTGGTTTGGCTTACCGCCTTTTGTCGCCTAACGTACGGATAAAGAGTACCCTACGTGCCTACCTTAGCTCTGGCCCGTTGCCCAGAATCGTAATGCATTATTCGTTCAAAGACAGGGGGTCCTCCTCGGGCCCCTCAGACGCGCGGGGACAAAGGAACTGAAGATGAAGAAGAAGAAAAAAAAAGACGCGCAGATTTTACACGGTACAAATTCAACTAGCGAAAGGGGGGAAAGTTAGCATTGTTGACATGACAAGCCCGTCTCATAATTGCACATATATCCGGCTGCTCCAGCAACTGCAAGAAAGCCCCATCCCCATTATAAAATCGATTACCTCAAAACTCCCATCGTGTTCATCACGTCGAGTAGTGAGGAGAAGTTGTGTATCTGCAACACTAGAGCCTGGGACCCCGTTTCTTTGTACACAGTAGGCCAGTATCTTGTTGTGTCCACTACCAGGGGCAAGTGAAGTGGCAAGTGAAAATCATCTCCCATCTCGGGACGGAGGCACGGAGGGAAGCAAGGACTCCAGGAGGAGAGCTTCTGGGGGTGTCCTACCGCCCCGGCGCGAGGCGAAGCTCCCGACTTCTGGAAGCTCACAGCAACAGGGAAGAACCGAGTTTGGGGGCCCTTTTCCCGCTGCTTGACTCCTCGGGAACCGTTCCTCTCCAACACGCTAAGAAGTGCAAAATGTGGGGAGGAAATTTCTCTCGTACCTTGTTCTGCTTGGGGATCGTCCTTGGTCCAGTGACTCACGCCCCTCTATTGAGCTCTTTCATACGCCTACAGACCGGCTTCCCGCGTGCAGCCCATCCCAAGGCCGTAGGTCGGCGGCGAACATGCACAGACAATCTCCGTCTCAGAAAACATTTCTCGCGTTGCCTTGTAGTCCGCAGTGGACGGCACGTCCGCCGCAGCGAGGTTGACAAGTGGTAGAGTGAGGTGGATGCCGAAAACATCGAGGCTGACAGCGCATGAAGCCCCAGGCTTGCCAAAGTCAAGCCAAGCAAGATACCCAAAGCCCATGGCTCGGTCGAGTGACGCGAAAGCGAATCAAACAAAGTCCCGACTCCCAAGACGCGCTTCTGGTGCTACTTTGCACCCAATGCAACCATGACCTGACGCAATAGTGCGGAATCGGCCGTGTTTTAGAGCTCCGATGCACATCCGCAGAGTACGTACCATTGCTAAGGTGATGCAGTGAGGACCCTGGGGGGTTTTGTCAGTGTTGACCACCACCCGTTGATCGCTCGCCGGATCGGCCCTCGGTGTGGCTGACCCGTACCTCCGATATCGACCGTGGGCTTTTTTTTAACTTTTGCGACTCACTCTCCCCACGAACAGAGCTTCTGTTTGAACAATCCTTCATACAGCCGCCAAATCAGCACTTTGGACGCCAATTGACGCCCATCATGTCTGTCAGAACTCTTAGAATCGGTAAGACAGCCTCTGAACAAGTCAATTGACCTGTTTTCGGCCCTTTAGCCCACCGACTAACACCCCATCTCACAGGCCTCATCCCCGGTGACGGCATCGGCAAGGAGGTCATCCCCGCCGGCCGGCGCGTCCTCGAGGCCCTGCCCTCCTACCTTGGCCTCAAGTTCGAATTCACCGACCTCAAGGCCGGCTTCGAGACCTTTGAGCAGACGGGTGCCGCCCTCCCCGACAAGACGGTCGAGATCCTCAAGAAGGAGTGCGATGGCGCCCTCTTCGGCGCCGTCTCCTCCCCGACCACCCCCGTCAAGGGCTACTCCTCCCCCATCGTCGCCCTGCGCAAGAAGCTCGACCTCTACGCCAACGTCCGCCCCGTCAAGACCGTCTTGACCGCCTCCAAGCCCATCGACATGGTCATCGTCCGCGAGAACACCGAGGACCTTTACGTCAAGGAGGAAAAGACGTACGACGGCCCCAACGGCAAGGTCGCCGAGGCCATCAAGCGCATCTCCCAGAACGCCTCCCACCGCATCGCCGCCATGGCCGGCGAGATCGCCCTCCGCCGCCAAAAGATCCGCGACGCTGGCGCCGCCAGCATCCACAAGGGTCCCCTCGTCACAATCACCCACAAGTCCAACGTCCTCTCCCAGACCGACGGCCTCTTCCGCGCCACCTCCAAGGCCGCTCTCGCCGACCCCCGCTTCGCCGCCATCTCCGTCGAGGAGCAGATTGTCGACTCCATGGTCTACAAGCTCTTCCGCCAGCCCGAGGACTACGACGTCATCGTCGCCCCGAACCTGTACGGCGACATCCTCTCCGACGGCGCCGCCGCCCTCGTCGGCTCCCTCGGCCTCGTGCCCAGCGCCAACGTCGGCGAGGGCTTCGCCATTGGCGAGCCCTGCCACGGCAGCGCCCCGGACATCCAGGGCAAGAACATTGCCAACCCCATTGCCACCCTCCGCAGCGCCGCCCTCATGCTCGAGTTCCTCAACGAGGAGACCGCCGCCGCCAAGATTTACGCCGCCGTTGATGCGAACCTCGAGGAGGGCAAGCTTCTCAGCCCCGACCTGGGCGGCACCGCCAAGACCGATGAGGTTGTTGAAGATATCCTCCGCAGACTGTAAGGAGGGTGGGTGTGAATTGTATTTGGATGGGAATTTTTTGAGAGGATAAACTCATGAGGACTGGATATGGCAGTCGACGCGGCGGTAGTCGCGCCTTTGATACCTACCATATTACCCAAAAGCACATGTTTCTTGATCCGTTTTCGCTCCAATGCCTACGTGAAAGTCGCGCCATGCGAACTTGAATACTGTTTAGGGACTGGAGAATAACTGATCTGTTGCTCTGAGTCACTGTGTGGATAACACACAGCGCGTATGCCTCGATAGCCAACAGTTCCAACCGAATGGAGTGTCTGTTTTGAAGGTTTTGGCCACGACGGCCATGCTCGGTATGATGCGAGGCACTATCTAGACTTATGTGGTATGGCGATTATGCTGCACAGATCAGATCATCTTGGACCGATTGAATTGAATATGATCCTGGAAGGTCTCTGCCAAATACCTTGGACGGAAGAGCAAATTAGCATGACTTGGTGTAGTATGAACTTGTAATATGCCGAACTACCTTGCCCGTATTCTCAAAGGGTTGTGTCATGAGATCGTCCTATGACGATGAATTTGAACCACGCGTCTACGCCGTTTCCCACACCTGATGGATTTCAGTGGCCAGGCAGCAACAAAGACCGGGATCTGTACACGCATAGATGATTAGCCTGCGCTGCAGTCGTTTGGGTCGAAGCTGGTTTGTTAATGGTGGGAAACCGGCATGTTGCAAAGCTGAGATTCAGCCCCGTTCTGTATCGACATCGAGTCTACGTCGCGGACAACATAGAACTAGCAAGATGAAGGTCAAAGTATGGGCCATTGCCAATTATTCTAATCCCCTTGATAAAATCGCCATCTATCAACGATGAACGGCGTTGGGACCTTTTCCTCAATGGAGCAATTCACACTCTACAGAAACAACTGTTGCAACAATGCTGCTTATCGTCACTCCATCGATGAGACTCCAGCGACATATTGACCAAGTACTGAGAAAAGACGTTAGACCGATAGGTTTGTACACATATAGTATCGAAGCGGTATTGGTGCACAGCTTTTTGTGAATCACTAGGCCGAACAAGGGGAGACGGTTGGGCGCTTGAGCATGCAATGGCAAACAGGCGCTTTTCCTGCTTGGGATGACATCGCATCCCCTACTGGTAGTGGCTCATGGCTCTCCAAAGTCCAAAAATTAGCACAACGTCTGATTTTTGAAGCGTGGTCCACGAATTGGATCCCGTCTTATGTGTGTGGTTCATTCACGAGGGAGACCCAAGGACAACTGACAGTCTTATAGACCGGGAGACAATTGAATGGATGGAACATGCAACTTGAAACCCAAAGCATTGAATCAATAGCAGCCGAGGTAGAGTGCCAACTTACATAGGAGTGTTTTTTAACAGATAAGGAGGGCGATAGCTGTCATATGTGCCGCCCCCTTCTGTTTGGAATCTAAGGATATTGCAGAGATTGGCTCACAGACAGGTATCGAAACAGAAGAGGCTATCATATAGCATCCATCGAGCTCAACCGTTCCTCAGTTTGTATAGCTTACATAACAGAATAGCATGGTCACTAGCCTTCCGCCGATACAAGTCTCATAGAAGCTTTGGGTCTCTAAATCTAATGAGCAGTTGCTTCTCAGGCACAAATGATTACGAGGTATAGGCGTAGCTCCCGAAAGGGATAGGACCCGGATCTAGCATTCATTGTCGTGAGAAAGAACTTTCCCCGGCGGTGTCTCGTTTGGCTTGAGGCTATCGGCTCGAACGTCAGCATTTTCGAAAGGGAAACGGTGGCGACGGATCAATAGTCTTCTCCAAATCTCACGATATTGAAATTCGAAGCTCAGAACCGTGTGACTTGCGCCGCTGCTGCAAGCTTGTCCGGCCGCCTCTATGCAACGACTCTGTACCTTGTACCACTTGGGACCTTATTTCCCGGAAATCAAAGTGTGGGTGCCTTTTCGAGTGTTCCAAAAGGGGGCAACGGAGGCTCTAATCGGGAGACCTGATATTGCAAAACGTGTAGATAATCGCCTCTTGAGTATACAGCTCAGGAACAGAACGAATCTTTGGACTGACTGACGAGCGTGTGCAACACACTAGACTGGCATTGACAACCTACAGCACCTCGGGAAAGTGATCATAAGATAGCCTACCTGCCTCATACTAGAAGGACGTTATGATGACTTCAGCATAGATCAATTACTACGTGAAGTCTTTCCGCATGTATGCATCGAGCTTCTCCAGAGCCTCCACAAGCACCTCGGTATGACACACATATCCGATCCTCACATAGCCCGCAAAGTCCTTGCCGTGACCGAAACACTTTGAACCTGGCACAAAAAACACATTCGTCTTGTCAAGCACGTCCAGACAGAAACGAACGTCGTCAACCGGCTCGCCCTTGTGCGTAAAGCGGACAAACGCAGTCGTACCAGCCTTTGGCTTCACCCACGAGCACACGTCCCCGTGCTTCTTGATGAATGCCTCGAGCAGGGCCTTGTTGGTGACCGCGAGGGCGACGTTCCGCCTCAGCAGCGGCTCCCATACGGGCTTGGACAGGGCGTACGACGCGATCTGGTCGTCGATCTGGGAGACGCTGATGGTGGTGTAGTCTCGAGCCGAGGCGATGGCCTGGATTATGGCCTTATCTCTGGAGGCGATCCAGCCGATGCGGATCCCGGCCAGGGCGTAGGACTTTGACATGGAGCCCGTCACGACGACCTTGTTGTAGCCGAAGGTGGTAATGGGCGGAGGCACTTCATCGGCGTGGTCGAAAAAGTCGTGGAATAGGGGCCGGTAGACTTCGTCTGAGAAGATGATGATGTCCCGGGTTTTGGCGAAGGCGACGATGGATGCGAGGATGGGCGTTGGGATTGGCGCACCGGTTGGGTTGTTTGGGTTGTTGATGATGATCATCTGGTGAAACGAGTTAGTTTCTGAAAAGTTTGTCGAGGGCAGAGTGAACGTCGAAGAACAGAACCTTTGTGTTGGGCTTGACGAGGGCCTCGAGTTCAGCGACGTCGGGCACGAAGCTATTCTCCCCCTTGAGCCGCCATAGTGAGACGTCGGCGCCGAGGCTCTCAGGTACGCCGTACAGCTGCTGATACGTAGGATACACGCATATCACATGGTCGCCCGGATTCACCAAGGTGTATAGTAGCAGGAAATTGGCACCGATGGCGCCTTGCGTGATGAGCACGTCGTCTTCACAGAGCACGCCCGAATCCGAGCCGGCCCCGCCGCCGCCACCGCCGCCACAGAGCGCCGCAACCCTCTGACGGAGCGGGGCGGAGCCGCGGATGGGGCCGTAGACGAGCTTTGTGGAAAAGTCGACGGGGCTGGGCGCGTGCTTGTCTTCGGAGAGGGCGACCAGGTCATTGACGGAGACGGAAGCGGCGCAGGTCTCGGCGATGTTGAGGCAGCCCGGGGTGGTCTCGTACTCGTCCATCCACTGTTCCACGTCGAACGCCGATATCCGGACCATTGTTGGAAGGGGGCGGAAGGGTAGGCTGTGTGTGGTGCGGCTTATTGGAGGGGCTTCAGGATGTTGAGCCGAGGAAAGAATGACTACTGGACAGCAATAACTTAGTGAGAGAGTGAGAGTATGGTCGCTACGTGGAGGAGCGAGGCTTTTGCGATTTGCACCGGGCTGAATTGATACAATGCCAAGGCTGGCGGGATTATGGGAAACTGAGATCTCAAACGAGAGTCATAGTCACTTTTCTCACACACACACACACACACACACACACACACACATGCGTAGCACACTCTCACAGTCTATTCAACTTCGTACGTAAGGCGGCTAGTTCCAATCCTGCGTATCAGCACGGACGGGATACGTCTTCGGAGACATTGGACACTTTGAGCACACGGCGGCGCCCCAGGCCTAACGCATGTCAAAGGCCCGTCAACAGGGTGCGCATTGTACACCGTCGGCCACTAGGAAGACCATCCGTGGGCACAGATGCGCGGGATCGGATTGTCTTAATAGAGAAAAGTATAAGCCGGTGTTGTTGGGTACCTGACTGTGGTTGTGCTTAATGCAGGGAGCCAACCCAAGGTAGCTGGTAAAGCAACGAGATCGATCGGACTCGAGCTGCGGCTGGAGCTTCCAGCGTCACCAACAAGCGCTTCGGAGACGAAAGGTTGCGTCCCAGGAACTGATTTTGGTGTCGTTCGGTGTCGGTGTCGGTGTCAAATTCTTGTTCCCAGTCAGCCATAACATGTACGAGAATCATCCAATTCATTCTTCTCGACCTGCCCAGCTGATGGCAATGGTCTTTTATGTTGAAGGGGCGACCTGCAGCTACACCCGACCAGCGAACAGGCCCGACATTTCTCGGGAGGCTACTGGCGAGAGTTCCTGCTGCGAGCCGTCATCTGTACTCTGGTGGATGGGTGCGCCATGTCCGGAACGAAGCACTCCAGAGTACTCCAGTTTAGTCTCGTCGTGTCAGTCGGATCACGGATAAATGTGCCTACTCTATATGGTCATATGGAGGGATAGGGCCGGACTGCGTACACTGCAGCTTGCAGATCAGCCTTAGGGTCGGACAGCACGAGATGTACATGCCTGCTGCCTGACTTGACGCTTAGATCTGCGATTGCATTGTACCGTGGCGTTTCAATGTCGAGGTCGCTGGTGGTGAGTGGGAGGTCGCAGAGTGTAATGCTCATGGATCCCGTAGCTCGCAGGCGTACTCCCTGTCTGCTCGTCTGCATTGGGCAGAGCATGGGCTAAGCTGTTGAGGTTTCCAGGTACCGAAAACCAGTGGAGAGGGAGGGAGAACAAAGAGTTGAACTATTCTTAGCGGCTTGTCTCGTCCCCGTCCCACAGAACTGGTTGCCCGAGCCAACGTCGGGGGATTGGGGGACAAAAGAAGACCTTAACAAACTGAGGTGGGCTACAGGACGCTACAGGACGCTACAGGACACTACAGGTACCTTGCCTTAGATATCTACGTACCTGCCTTAGCTGTGTGCTCAAGGAACCTACGTGCCTAAGGTACCTGAGGTACGGTACTTGATCCTGGAGACTCAGGTTTACTGGTTCCGCCACCCCACGGGACGCTGGTGTGTGTTTCCGACTGGCACAGTGGGGTCCCCAGCCGGTCAGGGCACGTGTCCCAAGAATCTTATCCACTGTGACGCCGCCGCCACCTCACGATTGGACCGTCGAGCTGAAGACACACCTCGAGTGGGTACGTACCTTACCTGAGCCAGGTCGCAGCAAGCCGCGTTGCTGGTTGCTGGGGCGGGTTATTATCGGCCGGCTCCAGCGCAATCCAGCGCAATCGGGTGGGTGATTGCTACCTCTATCGGCTTGGTGCCTTGGTCAAGGGCAGGTCATCCACGTCTGTTGCTGCGTCTGTCTTCACGCCTCCTCCCGCAGGCCAAGAGCTCCCTCTGTCCTCCATCCTCCGCCGCTCTGTTCGCAGCCGTGTCCATCTCCGTTTGGTCCAGTCCATTCCATGATCTGACTTCTCTCGCCCCTCTCTGACCTGTTCACACCACTACTCTTCCTTCGACATCGACGACGCTCCCGCCATCTCTCCTCGTCTGCTCGCAACCGACTCAGTGTCTACTCCGCCACGCAACCGCCCATCATGGCTCCTCCCGCCTTGAGGAGCCTTCTCATCGGGGCTCTGGCATGTCTTCCCGTCCTGGCATCGGCACAGCGCAACTATTCGACGACGGCCGATATGCTGCGTGCCCAGCTTTCCCTGCTTGACGACCGACCCTCTGACTGTCCGCCCTGGTGAGTGCTTTGCGTCGAGACGTCCTGTTGCGCCTCATCCTATCTTGCGAAGCTGTTGTCTTGGCTTGTGCCGTTGACTCTCCAATGCTAACAGACATCCTTTGCGCAGCTTCAACTGCCTTCTCCCTGCTCACAAGTGCACCCAGTTCGCTGGCTGCAACGACTTTACCGGCAAATGCAACTGTCCTGAGGGTTTCGGAGGCGATGACTGCCTTGAGCCACGTACGTCCACCCGCTTACCCGCCGTGCAGTCGCACAAGTTCGGCGCATCACTGACACTTGCTCCTTAGTATGCGGATCTCTCTCCCGCGGCGACAACACCGATAGACCTCGACGAACCGGTGACAATTGCGAATGCGACGACGGCTGGACCGGCATCAACTGCAACGTCTGCACGGAAAACAAGGCCTGCAACGCCCTCATGGAAACCAAGGAGGGTGGTGTTTGCTACCAAAACGGCGAGGTGATCAATCACAACTACCAGATCTGCGATGTGACCAACAAGAAGATTACCGATCTCCTCGGCGAGAAGCGTCCCCAAGTTACCTTTACCTGCAAGAAAGAAGAGGGCAACTGTGATTTCCAATGTAGGCTGGTCCCCCATTCAGTCATGGCGACAACCAGCTAATAACTTCTAGTCTGGGTCGACGAACGTGAATCCTTTTACTGCCACTTGAACGAGTGCAGCTCGAATGCCGACATTAATGACAGTCAGAATAGCACTGACTACAAGTGTAATAAGATCGAATGCAACTGTATCTCCGAGCGCATGCTCTGTGGAGAAAACGGCTCCGTCGATATTGGCGATTTCCTTGTCGAGGAAATCAAGGGCCCCGCGGAGTTCCAGTGCTCGCAGAAGAATGGCGGCGTCAACAACTGTGCCTTCAGAGAGCCTGCCATGGATGACCTTATCCTGTCCCTGATCGGCGACAGCAGCATCCAGCTGAACTGTCGATCTGGAGAGTGTCTGTACCACACCGAAGTCCCTGGTTACGAAAGGCCGGTCAAGAAAATCAACACTCCGCTCATCGCCAGTATCATCGCCGCCTGCTCCCTCTTTGTTGTTGCCGTCATCCTCCTCACGTGGTATCTTTCTCGCCGACAGTTCAAGTATGGTGCCATCGTGTTGGACGACTCCGACGACGAAAGCTTGAAGCTCATGACTGATCACAAGCCCGCCTCTCTCTACTTCGAGAATGTAGCCTACGAGCTCAACGGGAAGCGAATTTTGAACAACATTCAGGGTATGGCCCATCCCGGAGAGGTGACCGCCATTATGGGTGCCTCGGGAGCTGGCAAGACCACCTTCCTCGATATCCTCGCCCGAAAGAACAAGAGAGGCCAGGTCTCTGGTGACTTCTTTGTCAATGGCGAAAAGGTCACCGACGTTGAATACAAGAACGTTATCGGATTTGTCGACCAAGAGGATACTATGTTGCCCACTCTCACAGTGCATGAAACGATCTTGACGAGTGCCCTCCTTCGCCTGCCCCGTAATATGGGTCGTGCTGCTAAGGAGCAACGTGTGTTAGAAGTTGAGAAGCAGTTGGGTATCTACCACATTCGGGACTCTCTCATCGGCTCTGAGGAAGGCAAGGGTAGAGGTATTTCTGGCGGAGAGAAGCGCAGAGTCGGCATTGCCTGCGAACTCGTCACAAGCCCCTCTATTCTGTTTTTGGACGAACCTACCAGCGGCCTGGATGCCTACAACGCTTTCAATGTCATCGAATGCCTAGTTACGCTGGCCAAGAACTACAAGCGTACTGTAGTCTTCACCATTCACCAGCCGCGGTCCAACATTGTGGCACTTTTCGACAGACTAGTCTTGTTGGCTCGTGGTGGCGCGGTTTACTCGGGTCCCTTCTCTCAGTGTCAGGCGTACTTTGACCAAATTGGCTATTCGTGCCCCCCAGGCTTCAACATCGCCGATTACCTGGTCGATCTCACCATGCACGCCGGCTCCTCGACTCCCGAAGATGAAGGTGCTTTGAATGCCGACGCCGCCAGCCTGGGTCCCAGTAGCACCACTGCTGTCAAGTCTATCGCAAGCATTTCTGGCGGCTCTATCGGCGACGACAGCGGTGTGGAGTCCTCGTCTTCGCGACCCAAGAACCACCGCCGTGATTCCGTCAAGATCCGTCAAGAAAGGGAGCTCTTCACTCGCCGCAAGACCACTGTGGATACGGCTGCTTCATCGGATGCTGGCGGCGAGGATTTCGGATCGTACAAGCTTCAGAACCATTCAGGCTTTGTCCCGCCGGCCAGTGTTGAAGAATCCCACGACCTCCCCCCTGCTGCATATGATGGAACCGACCTGGACGTTTTGATCCGATCCTTCGCCGAGTCAGATATCGCAGGCTCCACGCATGATGAGATTCAACAGTCCATCACCGCCGCCCAGGGCGCCAATGGACAAAATGCCAATGGCTACAATCCCGAAGGACCCAACATCCACATCAGCGCTATCGGCAAGGGCTACGTTCGGGTGGGCTACATCCGCCAGTTCATCATCCTATCCCAACGCACATGGAAGAACCTGTACAGGAATCCTATTCTCATGCTGACTCATTACGCCATTGCCATTCTCCTCGCGGTCCTTTCCGGTTATTTGTTCTACGGACTGACCGATGACATCCCGGGATTCCAAAACCGCCTGGGTCTCTTCTTCTTCCTCTTGGCTTTGTTCGGGTTCAGCACCCTGACCAGCTTGAACGTCTTCGCTACTGAGAGGCTTTTGTTCGTGCGAGAACGCGCCAACGGCTATTACTCACCCATCACCTACTTCGCGGCCAAGATTTTGTTTGACATTATCCCGCTGCGAATCATCCCGCCGCTTCTCATGGGTGCCATCATCTACCCGATGACTGGTTTGGTCCCTGACGCCAGCCACTTCTTTAAATTCATTCTCGTTCTGGTCTTGTTCAACTTCGCTGCAGCCGCGATCTGTCTCTTCATTGGTATCATCTGCAAGGACGGCGGAGTGGCCAACCTAATTGGCAGTCTGGTCATGCTGTTCAGCTTGCTATTCGCTGGCTTGCTGCTCAACCACAACGCCATCCCCAAGGCCGCTCTGTGGCTCCAGATGCTGTCCATTTTCCACTACGGCTTTGAGTCGCTCATTGTCAACGAGGTGTTGCAACTCACACTGGTGGATAAGAAGTACGGTTTGGACATTACCGTCCCGGGAGCCGCGATTCTGAGCTCCTTCGGTTTCAACAATGACGCACTTTGGACCGATGTCGTCAGCCTCGGTACCTTTGGAGTTGTCTTCCTTATTCTAGCCTACGCCGCCATGCACTTCCTTCTTGTCGAGAAGAGATGATCACGATGCGTGGCCAGATCGGGCCGATTTTCTAGCCGCTTTTTGGTATACAATTGTAAGAATATAAGCGTTACGGCCACCCTAGCAAGGGCCGCAGCAGCTTCGGGTCATTTCATAGAGACCACACAGAGATACATACAGCAATTTCCTTTCGAATGACAATAATCTGTCAATATGCATATGGGCAGCTTCACGGCGTTGGAGGATTGTCATGTCGTTCTAGTTTGACATTGATGGCTTATAATGCTACAGAGAATTGATAGTAGTACAAATTGACTTTTGCGCCCCAAATGGCTCTGCAACCGGAATTTGGTATGGTGATATACAGAGACTTGACCTAAAGCCACCAAAACGTACAGATGTGAGATGCTACAAGGGTCAGAACACCTTTTGTTTGGTTTTTTTGACACAATGCGCCGAACGAGCCAACTTGGGGCTGACCGGCGGGCCATTCCGACGCGTATCCCATTACTCCATCTTGCCGCCCGTCAGCTCCTCGGCGATCGACTTCTGCCTCTTGACAGTCCTGTCCTGCTCGCTCATCTGGTAGTCGATGGCCCGCTGCTGCTTCCTCAGCATGTCGTCTAGCATGGATGACACCGTCGGCGGCTGTCCCCAAACATCCCAGGCGTTGTCGGCGTCGTGGGCCTGGGACTTGCCCTGGCGCTTCCAGAAGTCCTCGGCGAAGAGCTGGTCCAGGTGCTTGCCCAGCTCCTCCTCGGTCACGATGAACTTGGACGCGTTGATGTATAGCTCCATCAGCGCGTCCTGTCTCGCCTCGCTCTTCTGCTTCGCGAGCTGAGCTGTCCTTGCCTTGCTGGCCGTCGCGAGAGCGTAGCGTCGCGGATCGGGCGCGACGGCGGCCGTCTTTGCCAGGGAGGAGAGGACGGAGCTGCGGGTGAGGCGGTCATCCAGGCGCTCGGGGGCGACGGCGGCGCGCTGGTGCTCGCGGAGGCGGCGCTGCCTCTCGGTGGTGACGGCCTCGACGCCCTCCTGCTTGCGCTGGTAGAGGCCCTGGAGAGCGATGCCGAGGTTCTCGCGGCGGGACTCGGCCATGCGGCGGCGGTGCTCGAGGCGGGAGCCGGGCGCGGCGGGCTTCTTGGAGGCTTCGCTGGTGGGTGCCGGGGCCGTCTCGAGGAGGTACTCCGGTTGGACCTTGCGGTCCTTCTCCTTTTCTGGGAAGACGTCGCGGGGCGTGGGGAGGGTTCCCTTTACGATCGGGGGCTTCTCCTCAGAGGCCTGTGACTGGGGCGGCGTGGGGACCTTGATCCATTCCGGGTGTTCGGGGGGCACGTTGAGCTTCGCCGTCGTGGTCGAGAAGGGTCGTGTGATGTTGATGTTGGCAGGTCTGGGGGCGATTGACGTCGGGAGCCGCGCCAGCCGCGCGCAAGAACATCTTGACGACATTGCGGTCGGCTTGATGGCGTTTTAGGCCGGGGCAAGTAGTCACTTGGTGTATGGAATGCAGAGTGAGTGACTGCGGCGTCGGCGAGCGGTTGCGAATGGAGTCGTTTCGTGGCTTGAGATGGCAAGCTACTTTGCTGTTGAGATGATGGACCTGAGAAATTCTCAAGGGTGTCCCAGGGTGGATAGGTGCACACTAGGGTGTGCGGTGAGTAGCAACTCTGCGCACTCAAGTTCTCCCTCGCTGAGTCGGGTTCCCGGTCTCTGAGGAAAATGCAAAAAACAGACAGACGCTGGGGGTGAATTTTGGAGCTCCCAGCTGTGGAGAGCCCCATTCTCTAGCCGTTCATTGGACTCTCGGCGAAACGGCGCATGCTCGACCCGAAGTGCTCCAGAAATTTTCAGCGACTCCATTAAAAAATTCCCAAGGGACCCCACCACCGCTAGAGAAAGAACTTCTTTTTACTGCGCGCGAAGCTCCAACCTCCTTCTCTCAACCCTCTCTTAAAACTTCACCGACTCCAACTCCTGCCCAGTCTCCCCTCCTTTCTCCTCCAGTCTTCCCCCTTTTTTCAATCAAGGTCGACGACTGGGCGAGTTCGCGGTCACAAAGATGGGAACCGGAAAGAAAGAGGCGAGCCGAAAGGTTCGCCAGGGCAAGACTGGCGATGGCATGGGCAATGTCAAGGTCAAGGGCGAAAATTTCTACCGGTAGGTCTCTCCATGGTGTCTTGCCATGTTGGCTCGGTGTGCGCAAACAGGTCGCTGACTTGCCTTTCTACAGCTCTGCCAAGCGGGTGAGGCAATTGAACATGTACAAGGATGGCAAGCCGCAGCGCAACGCCGACGGCGAGATCACCAAGGCTGCCTCCTTCCAGAGCCGAGAAATCCCTATCGCCCGGATCGAGCCCAACCGCAAGTGGTTCGGCAACACTCGCGTCATTTCTCAAGAGAGCTTGACGGCGTTCCGGAGTGCCATGGCAGAGAAGGCCGCAGATCCTTACTCGGTCCTGCTCAAGAGCAACAAGCTGCCAATGTCCTTGATCAAGGATGGTGCCGACAACGTGAACGGCATCAAGCAGCACCAGGCTAAGATGACGATCGAGACGTCTTCTTTCGGAGACACCTTCGGTCCCAAGTCTCAGCGGAAGCGCGTTAAGATTGGTGCCGGTTCTATTGCGGATTTGGCTGGCGAGGTTGACAAGGACCTCGACAAGTTCAACGAGCTCCAGGAGCGGAATAAGCTGCTAAGCGGCCAATCCGGCGGTGCGGACGAGGACGAGGGTCACGTCACCTTGTCGATCGAACCCATCTTCAATAAGGGTCAGAGCAAGCGTATCTGGAACGAGCTGTATCGTGTGCTGGATTCTTCCGATGTTGTCATCCACGTCTTGGATGCTCGCGACCCTCTGGGAACGAGATGTCGCAGTGTCGAGAAGTACCTTCGCGAGGAGGCGCCTCATAAGCATCTCATCTTCGTCTTGAACAAGACAGACTTGGTGCCCACCAGTGTTGCTGTAAGTCTTTCCAACTCGTTCATCTTTCCCCCATCCCATACCCCAGTGTCTTTGTCAGGAAACATTCCGCACTCTCTGTGCCCGCAATGGAAGTTCTCCGTTAAACACTGGGAAAATCGAGGGCTGTCTCGCTGTCCTGGTCCTTGGATCAGGGCTGATGGGGTCCGTTTTGGATTTCCTATCATGAGACAGAATTGCTTCCGATGAGTTGAAGTCTGCCAGCGCTCTCTCGAGCCTTTCGATGGTGGTATTTCTTAGTAGTGAAGCATACATATTATCCAGACCACTTTGTCTCGTCATTGTTTGCTTCGTACAGAAGCTAATTCGATATAGGCCCGTTGGGTGAAGCACTTTTCCAAGGACAAGCCTACGCTGGCCATGCACTCCAGTTTGACGAATCCTTTCGGCAAGGGTAGTCTGATTGAGCTGCTCAGACAGTATGCCAAGCTTCACAGCGACCGCAAACAGATCTCCGTCGGTCTCATCGGCTACCCCAACGTCGGCAAGAGTTCTATCGTCAACACGTTGAGACAGAAGAAGGTTGCCAATGTTGCGCCGATTCCTGGTGAAACCAAGGTCTGGCAGTACATTACACTCACCCGCAAGATCTGTAAGTCATCGCAATACTTCTCTTTGGACAACGTATTTGAACATGGATCTAATTCTCGCAGACATGATTGATTGCCCCGGTATCGTACCGCCGTCGCAAACCGACACGCCTCAGGATCTTCTCCTCAGAGGCGTTGTTCGTGTGGAGAACGTCCACAATCCCGAACAGTACATCCCGGCTGTCCTCGAGAAGGTGAAGACACATCACCTGGAGAGAACATACGGACTCAAGGGCTGGACCAATCACGTTGAGTTCCTCGAGATGCTTGCCCGAAAGGGTGGCCGTCTGTTGAAACACGGAGAAGCCGATTTGGATGGCGTTGCCAAGATGGTTCTCAATGACTTCATGCGCGGCAAGATTCCTTGGTTCACTCCTGCGCCGGTTGAAGAAGAAGGTACGGAGACAACAGAGGGTATTGAGGGCCGTGGCGGCAGACTTGGCGAGATGCCTCAGAAGCGGAAGCGCGACGCTACCGATGTAGCCGAGAGTGTTGCCGATACGTCAATGGGACCCTCCAGCGACGAAGAAGAAGGAGGGGACGATGACGAGTTTGAAGGTTTCGGGTCTGACGATGACAAGGCTGAGGGCGATAAGTCCTTGGCCGAGGCATCTGAAGACGCAGGTGAGGCCTCGGACGACATGATCCCGCTTGATGAGATATCAGACGACGACTCTGAGAGTGAAGACGGTGGTGACGGCGCTGCTTCGGAGACGAGCTACAACACCTCGGTCCGTGCGATATCGGACCGTAGTGCCAGCAACGCCTCGAAGAAGAGAAGAAAGACAAAGACGTGAAATCCTCAGGCCAGAACCTGCTAGATGCATTGCATCTCTTCCGCTGCGACGCCGAAGTTTCGGCAGCCTCATCTGCACAGGTGGGAAACTGCGAGTCCACTGGGGCTAACTCGAAAAAGAAAAACCAAAAAGAGAGTGAGCTGCACGTCCGCAAGCGCCCTGGACTCGGAAGACTTCCTGGTGTGAGAACCACGGGCCAGCCAGGGCAGCCGTTACAAAACCTGAATGTTCCCAGACATTGAGGCTGTCGGCACCTGATTGCGGCTCTCCGAGGGACGCAGATCCCGGATTTCCGCGCTTCCCTGTTTCTGCAGCTAAGCACGGGCTTCAGCCGCGGGATATTTCCCAAAGTTTGTTCCCCCGCCATCTCTCGTGGGATGTAAGCTTAGCGTCGTTACCGTATGATACCCCATGATTAGTCTCGAATGGCAAATTGCTATAAGTAGACAAACATCTTCCATACCATGCCTCTTGAATGAAGGCTCCTCAGTAAGAAAAACCGAACCAAAAACAAGAATCTAGAGATAGAAGAAAAAGCAATAGCCTGATTGCCGCCACGCAGTCACAATACACACACTTGGTTCACCGATGAAAACCTTGTTTTTCGCCTCTTCCCCTCATGTTCCCTCTTTCGGCTTCTATCGTTCGCTTTGTCGCCTGCCTCGCCGCGCTGTTGACCCTTGCAAAAACAAGACATTGGCCGACGAAGACAACGCGGGGACTCGATGATGTCGACAAAGTTCCGACGTAAGTTTGCTCGTCACGACTAAGCAGGAGAGTTTTCTCAACCTCCCGTCTCAACTTGTGAACCTGACTTGACTCTCCCAATCCAAAATCGAAGTTTGTTATGCTTGCAATGGATTTCCTTCTTTCCATCTAGCGTGATACCGTTCCCTTGTTCTTGGCTTGCTCTACCCGGCACATCCTCACCCCATCTCGATTGGAAAGAATGTCGATCGTCTGAAGAATGAGTCGTAAGAAGCTTTAGAGTTCTTACAACGCCCTCGCCCTCCTAATCGAGACTTGGGTAACAAACACACACACATACATAGAGCACCTTTGGAGGACATACTCCGACGAGCCAGGTCCATCGACCCCACGTGGACCGTGTAATCCGATGTTTTGTATTCTCTTTCGCCGTCCCTTTCTCTGTGCCTCGGTTTTCTCTCCTGACAGTCAACGACCCTTGCCCTTGCCTACTTACTTCCTCTTCTGATGATTCGAACATGGTGGAATTCAAACACGCCGGTCCGTCCGTCCCACCCCTCCTTTCCCCCTTCACTTTTCGCCCAACGATGGCCTTTACTCGGATTTTCTGCTCTTGGGTAGCTAGTCAAGCCAGGAGACTTTTTCCCGATCAGCTTTCGTGTTCGCTAGGGGATATGTGTTGTGGGGTGTATGTGAAATGTTTGACCCCGCCTCATCTTTCCTCGTAGAATGAGGGCGTCGGCAACTGTTCAAGCTCTAGGGTGGTTTTCTAGAAAGCATAAAGGGATGAAAGTCTTCCTTCCGCTGAATAAGAGAGTCCGTCTGCCTCTTCACCCCTTTCTTATCCGGCCATTGCCCAGCACTCGCTTTTCGTTGCGCTGGAATCCAAAGGATCAAAAGGCCTTTTTTTTGCTTTTGTGTTCCTTACCCAGCACTTCATCCTCTTTCCCCTGAACACGGGCCATTTTCATCGAGGGATTCCATCTACCTCGGAGCTCTATTCATGGTTGGCTAGTGACGTTTGTTCGTCACCATTACCGCAACAATTCCTCCTAGTCTGATTGTGGACGGAGTAAGCACAAAAAGGAAAGAATTCCGGCACAGTAAAAAGGAGAAGAGAAGATGCGTCTTTCTTTAGTTACCGTTATATCCCTGGCCACGAGCTCTCTCGCTCTAGCCCTCGTGCCCGGGGATACCGACAACACCATGAACCCGGAACATCACCCCGGAGGAGGTTGGGGAGGCGGCGGTCGCGGCGGGGAAGACTGTAAGGGTAAGGGAGGCGGCCACGGCGGCCACGGCGGGGGAGGTGGCAAGGGCGGAGATGATTGCAAGTGCAAGGGGGGTGGCAATGGAGGAGGCGGTGGTAAGCCCCCCGGTATGCCTCCTGGAATGCCTCCTGGCGGGGGCGGCGGGGGCGGCGGTGACAATCCTCCCCCGGGTGGTGGTGGTGGTGGTGGTGGAGGTGGTGGTGACAAACCTCCTCCAGGTGGTGGTGGAGGCGGTGGAGGAGGCAAGGGGGGTGATGACTGCAAAGGCGGCAGCAGCATGACAGAATGCGACTCGTTCCGCATGCGAGTCAAGGGCTCCGTCTCGGGCTGGGTCGGCCAGCTGGACAGCGGCCAGCTCAGAATCGGCCTCGAGCCCGTGACTCTCCGCATGGAAAAGGGCGAAATCACGGACAAACGCCAACGCGGCATGTGGTGGACTCGTAAGTTTTGGACCGAACCCCCTTCTCCCTCCTCTCCCCCAACTCTACGCGCGGGAAGACTAAATCGTGCTACAGCTCCCACCGAAACGCTTCAGTGCGATCAGGGGCAGAAGCCTGACAAGGGTTGGAGCGCCGGCTGCGACGGCCTCATGAAATTCAAGAACCAGACGCGGTACTTCCAGTGCGAGGCTGAGAACCAGACGTACAACCTGTACAAGAAGAATGACCAAGGCGTCCACTGCGGTGAGATTATGCTTTACATGAGTGGTTGTGGGCGTGGAGAGGGCGAGGGTATGGGTGACAAGCCTCCCGGCGGTGGCGGCGGTGGCGGCGGCGGTGGTGGTGGTGGTGGTGGTGGAGGAGGAGGAGGCGGAGGAGGAGAGGGACCGGGCAAAATGCCTCCTCCCTCCAACGCGACGACTACCACTCATAAGGCTTCCAAGCCCACGAAGCCTCCGGGACGGTGATTGTTGAGTCAAAGCCGCTCTTGAGCTCCCGCTCATGCTAGGGATGTGTGTTGAACACAATCAGATTGACTACAAACTGGTGTGGAAGGCATCAGTTCTGGTACGGACCCCTTCAGCGCGGTAACATGAATTTTTTCACGCTTTGGATGCGAGACGTCCTGTATAAAGTAATACGAGGGAACGATTTTCATAGTCGATAGTCATACACAATAGTCATTCAATACGTTCATCATGATCCTGATAGCCGATCAGCTCTGGCCCTCAGCGGCCCGAGAACCAAAGCAGACCCTGTACTCCAAATGAAAAGCATCTCCTTCATCCAAACTCCGTGTCCCCAATACCAAAGACGAAATCAGTCGTCAAAATCCAAGTCGCAATTCTCAAAGAGGCCTTCATCATCTCCGTCGTTATCGTTCGGAATGCCCAGAGTCTCGTTGGCTTCCTTTATCCAATACGGAGTCGGGCCCAAGTTAGTCGCGGTCGGGGCAACCTCCTCGTGCAACATGACGGATTCTGTGCCCTCGCCAAGCCTGGCGCCCATCCAGGCGTCCTTTCCGTTGCAGTTGAAGTGTTTGTCCGGGAGCTCCGCGACCTTGGGAGGCATGCTCGGGTTCTATCCGGGACCAAACATCCACGAGGCGGCAGTAGACTCTTCGAAGCCTTTGAATTCTCCCTTCTTGCCCCACTGGGCGCTTCCTGTCTGGGAAGGCACTGCGGAAAGGACATCCTTCTTTGTGTGCAAGTCGTACGTGACCATGTTGCCTCGGGCGTCGGGGCGTGTCTCGGCAATGGGGTCGGGCTCGCCGGTGTAAGGGTTGATGAGACAGGTGAGGCGGCCGATCTCAAACGTACCGCGGTAGCCATTGTGGGCGAGAGAGCGCGCGTTGGCGACCCTCATTGCGATCTCCTCGGCTGGGGATACGTAATGTCCACCTTGAGGGTTTATGAAATGATGCGAGTGAGAACTAGGGCACGATGTACTGAAGAAGTCGTTAGGAAGCACGGGAGGGGACTGGCTGCTGAATGAGGACGAGGTGAAGGGGCCATTAGTGAACATGGGAGGAGGAGGGCTGCTGAATGAGATATTGGACATCACTCCTGCTTTAGTCGGATCCTGGCGGAGTTGGCTACCAGGTAGGACGTGTGTCGTAGGGATCGGTTCATCGCTGGTCGACGAGTCGGAGCTGATTTCAATCGGCAGGGGAGGCAACTTGACACTTCGGAGAGACGAAGGGATCGGAGGGCTGCTCGAGTTGGGTGGCTTCTGGGGGCTGGTGACTTTGACGACTCTGGCTCTTCGGTTCTTGTCCATTTCTGGATTCGGGCAGGAATTAGTGGGATGAAATGAGAGCGATTGGTGACGGGTGCTTGGATGGGATGAATCTCACGAAGTCGCGCCCGGAAGCGACGTTGCTGTCCGGATGAGAGCGCTGCCACCATCGGGTTCTGCATTGGACGGCCATTGGGGCTGAATGTCGTTATGTTCGCTGTGGTGAGTTAGTAGAGACCAAACGCGGAGGATCAATGAGTTTTGGGGTGAGACGTACGCGACGGGTACTGCGGAGGTGAGGTACTCATGATCGAATGTTGAAAGACCGCGACCGGGCCGTAAGGACTGGATGTGATCGAATTTTCTGGGTAAAATCAGTTTGATTCCATCCGATTGTTGGTAGCTGATGAGATGAGACTCACGGAATGGATGTTGTAGAGATGATGAAGGTATGTTCTGGCTGAAGGGAGTTGTATATTGGCTGAAGGGGTTGGAGACCACTGGGTTCGCTGGTTTTGGTCAGCCAGAATCCGATCCAGCCCGCGAGTGCTGCCTTTGGGAAGACGTACGTGAACAGAACTGTGAAGGTGAAGAGGTCACACTGGGTCGTGAGGGGGTCAGGAATTGGCCGCCTCGAGCTCTTGCCGCAGGGCTGCTCATGGGAGCAGCAGCGCGACCACCACCACCACCGTATGGTCCCATATCTGCAACCGGAGCAACACCTGGAATACTGTGACTCTGAATACAAATGCCAGGAAATTGTCTCTTGTTGGCGGGGATCTTCAGGTTCTGACGAATATCGTAGGCTCTGTTTTGCATCAAATTTTCAGCTTGAGAGTTCGGAATCGCATCGTGTTCAGATATCTGATCCACTCGATGCTGAATGTGATCTTGAGCTGTAGATCTTGTGACATGTGGATTTGAATTGCCAATTTTGGCCGCAATCTGGGCTTCGTGCTGTTGAGACTCGTCCATGGCGAACGGACGAAGACTTTGGGTCCTTCGAGTACCAATTGGGAATGCTTCGGGACCGAAATACCGCTGCATGTGTTTGCGTTCCTTCAAAGTCTGACGCTGGGTAGCCTTGATAGCTGAAAGGCTTTGTAGTTTCGCGTTGTGTTGATGCTTTGTCTCAATCTCGGTGACTCGGCCTTTGAGTTTGATGCGAGGTGGAAGGTGGAAGAGGGCTAAAGATGTGGGAAGGTGAGAGGGCTTGATATTTTGATTGCTTAGTCGTCATTCGTGATCCATTATGTAGGTGTATATGATCCCGAAGCACCAGAGGCCGTCGGGATCGACTTCGGCTTCAAGGGGAATCTTGGACATCACGGGAAAGTCTTGTTGATGACAAGGACGAGAAACGCTGGTCTGTTGTATTCATCTTTGAATGGTGTGAACGTTGTCTTTGTCGCTTGGACTTGCTTGACAAGGGAGTGAGGGTTCATGAAGTTCAAGTCTCAATATTGACCCATGGCTGATGTCAAAGAGCACACGCATCAACTCGATGCTGTTGAAGTTTGATGTTTAGTCATTACAATGCCTCAAGCTAAGGCGAGAATCTATTTGAGAGGGCTAAAGTTTTATCATGAGAAATTGGTATTTGGTATGATAGCTTCCCATTGCCATTGAAAAGGGAGACGAATAAACCTCATCAGAGTATTGAAGACAGCAGCTCGGCAGACTTTGCTCCTGGTTCTGTCGTCATCTAGACCCTTCATTTGCGCATGACATGACGACTCCTTGGTTGTCTTCAAGCATTTGGAAAGTCATTAATGGAGTGAGCCAGGGGTTGATAGAAAGGGGAGAGAGGGCACTTGAATCATTCGGTGGACTGTCTCTCCTCGAGCTTTAGATGTGAGATTTGGAAACCCAGTGAATATCAAACGTAAACCTATTTGATGTACATACATCAAAAGATTTCAATCACTCGCTGTGGAATGTAGTCAAATAAACAGACCTCCTCACCCTGGAAATCTTCATCATCATCCAGGTCGTCAAATCCGGTCTCCAGCTCGAGCTCGAATATCCCGATTCTTTTGTAAGCCGATGCACCACCATCTGACGAGCGCCCTTGACTGACCTCAACCGGCCGGAGAAGCAATCTGAGTATAGTCCAATCGGCAGAGTACCCGCATACTCTCTTGATCTCTAGCGCCATGTATCCATCAGAGCCGGAAGTCGTCTTTGTGGGATTGATATCCAAGTCATCCAAGCAATCGAGATGACAGCTGATATTTCTAGTTTTCATGAGCTTTACCCCTGGGTCGACGATGCTCTGTGGGCTCTGAGGACTGGTGATGTCAAAGACATTCTCCGGATCGTTACTCGAGTCTCCTGCAGAATGATTGATTCGAGTGGCCACGGCGAGTCTCCCACGAAGCTTGAGCCGACCTGAGTCGCTACGGACGTCGCCATAGGGTGCTTTCTCATTCACAGGCTCGGCAGAGATGGACAAGACGTCAGTGTTAAAGACTTCGGTTGCATCCGTCATATCGCCCTCCAAAGTAGGGATTTCCCAGCCGTCGCCCAAAGTCACGTATGCCCTTACGCCGCTATTGACAGCAAACCACGACCATGATGGGCCCTGGTAAACCAAAGGCCGGCACTGCCTCTCAGATTGTTCAACCCTCCAGAGCAACTCGTCGCGGATGTTCCCTTTCCAGAGACCCGCGGCGTATTCATCACCGGTTAACACAGAAAAGCGCTCCGCGACCCCTGACATGGCAAGAGCACGGTCTGTATTGAAGGACAGGTTACGGCTGGTGTAAATGTCCACCAGGGCACCCCAGGGCGATGGGTTTTTTAGGCTGTGGCTCCAATTGAACGAATCCTGCCTTAGGTCATTGGGCTCCGCGATCTTCCTCCACCCGTCGGCTGCACCTTCGCCGACGTGGAGCCCGTATAGCTTGTCGTGTCCGGTAATTGATGGGATAGGTTCTTGACAGCTCCACCTGGTCTGTCGAGAGCCGAATTCGACAATCCTGAGTGACAATAGGCGTTCTTGAAAAGTCCACCCTCGTTCGTCAATGGGTTCGTGGCCCGTCTCTAACTCAGCCAGGGTTATCGATCCCATGTTGCCCTTTTCTGACTGCCATGAGAGCAGGAATGCTTGTTTGGACTTCGTATATGACTCTCTATACTTGAGAAAACCCTCCCAAGCAGTCTTGGCTCTGGATGCCATGATGGTAAATGAGGCTTGACCGTAGATGTAGGGCATCTTTGCAATTTCTAAAATCTTCTCTTCGTTGCCTTCATTTTGAATGATACAGAGAGCATCAACCCAGATATAGCGAACTCCAAGCTGCGAGCAGACTTTGACGGCATCCTGGATGGTACGAGGCAATTCCGCAAAGGGGATATCCTTCGTGAATGCTTCCAATGTAGACGTCTCGCATTTTACCGTCTGATTACCGCCCCAGCAATAACTCAAAGCTGCAAATCTTGGTAGAGGACCAAGATGCTCTGTGTCTTGCAAACGTAGCGAATAGCTTCCTTTTGCAGAGCTTGGGTCAATATAGATCAGCCTGACGGGCCTGAGTGCTGACGGCCCAGACTGCGCCTTCAATTTACGACACGTCTTGTGCTTGGCCTCGCACTCACTCAACCAGGACTTGACCGCTGGCAGGCAATACGCGGGATCGTTTTGTATCGGCCGCGTCCAGAAGTCTCTGGCCGCTGGATTATCGTGAGGCGTGTAAATTTGCAGACCTTTGACCGTCCTGTAAGAGACGAGCTTCGTGCGCGGGTCCCAGAGCCCAAAGTATTCTACAGTGAGGACGTCCGGCGTATGGTCTCCCCCCATACGGAACGGAGGATTCGTCTCGGCTACGAGAACATAGTCGACGTATCCGTCAGTGCGGTTCCGGACGGCATGGCGCAGGGAAGGAAGCCTGTAGTCTAGGTCCCTATCAGTCTGGCCGTGAAACTGCTCGAGCTCCTCCAGATCCATCTGATAGACCTCGCCGGATGTGTTGTCGGTGCACTCGCCTACATCGGGCCGTGCGATACACTCCCCATCAAGAATCCAATCTATGAAAGCGCATGTTTTCTGCTGGACGAGCAGGAGATCCGCGAGACTGGTATCGAACACAATCTTGTTCCACCTCGCGTCGTGTCTGTCGCTCCGGTCGCGGCGCGGGCTCTCGGCTTCGGCGCGGATGAAGAGAAGTCTTTGGCACCATTCGCAGGAATGAGGCCGGGACGACATGGAAGGCATAGTTTGCGAGGAAGTCACGTTCCTGGAGATCAGGGTATCAGGAGGACCCTGACCGCGAACACGGCATCTGAGGGCCGTGATAATGATATGCTAGTTGACTGCGGCGCCCCGCAATCGGCGAGAGGAGTGGGCTAGGTTGCGTCTGCATGTACAATAAGCAGCTGGGCTGATAATGCGTGATTGTGGATGCCTGCAGACTTATGCATGTCAGATAATGGTCCAGCTACCTGTTGGCTTGCTAAATGCAATGACTGGCCTGGACAGCGACCTCGTTGAATGAGTGGATGAAACCAACGGTATCCCCATGGCGATGATGTTCGAAATCTTCCTCCACTGAAGAGGAGTGGACTTATTAAAGTGACTATTGGAGATCATAGCGACCTCACTTCTTGAGGAGATCCTCAACCTGAGACGTAATGTCCACCATGGAAAAACAAGTCCTGTTTCCAGCAGTGGAGCCGGCGACAGGGGTATCCCCAAAGAACTCCTCAACCATGAACAGACTGTCGCCAACTTGTACCGGGGCAGTGACAATCCCCCCTTGGGCATCAGAGGAGTTACTCGGTACGGTGCCAAGATGCTCAACAGACTTTCAAGATCACGTCCTTGGACCGCAGAATAGTCACGCCTTTGGTATTCTCGGCGACGAGCAAGACTTTCCCACCATATCTTGGCGGCACGTATATGGCATCGGTACTCACCAGCGTCGCATTCGGCGATCTGGGTATGAGCACAGGAGTGCCCTTAACCGCCTTCATATCGAAGCGGTAGATCTGGGAGTCATCGTTGCTATTGGAGAGCAAAATGTTACCAGTGCCTACGAGGCTTGAGAAGCCCATTTTTGTGTGTTCGATTGTCGCAGGGAGATACCAAGGGACGACGGCAGAGCCCTCGCGGTCGACTTTCAAGATTGTTCCGGGGAACGACCAGACGACGTACGTATTGCCGCGGGCATCGTGCTCAATGCCCTGGAAGCCTCCGTCAACCCTTTCGTTACGGATGTCATGTTCTTATTCCACAACGCATGTTTCTTCGCCGGGTCATGGTTGATGATGAAGTTGTCGCCGGATACGTCTTTGCGCCGGCGGCGGTGTTGAAGGGGCCGGCGGCGTCGACCGCACTAGAGACTAATTTGGTGCGGTATTCCACCTGCACACCACCAATGTGTAAGGCAGGGTTGTGTGTGGTGCCGTCGAACGTCAATATGTCGAGCACGGTCCCATTGCAGGGGTCCTAAACCACAATCCTTGCGTTGAACATTGGCCTGGCCTCAGCCTTAGCACCATCGTTGATGTAACCTTGTAACACGTATGCTTGCCCAAAGTAGACGATGCAGTCGTTGATATCCCAGTCCAAATTCTCGGGGCAGAGCTGGTAGTGTTGGTTAAAGAAGCTGCCCTTTTTGAGAGGCGGGAATTGTCCCGATGGGTTTGGAGGACTCTCTGCTTGCGCCGCTGAGGACAGAAGCATGGCAAGGGCAGCTGTCAGGTACTTGGGGCTACCCATCGTGAGCTGTGACCAACGCTACGGGCGTCACACCAATCGCAGAACGGTCGAAGCGAGAGACGCAAGAATGAGGACAGCCGACACATGTCACTACCGTCTAAGTATCTTCTTCGGGTGACGATAAACATGGTTAATAAAGCAGGCGACGAGACTCAGATCTTGTCGAAGTGTAGGTGGATATTGCTTGAGGGAGTATATTTAACTGATACTCCAGTCGTTTCTTCATATAATATGCCTGGACGTTTGAGGCGACGTGCAGGTCACAGATGTCGACATTGGCAATGGGAAGACGCTCGAGCTTCGGTTGGAAATTTGATGAATAGCGACTCGTTCTTCAGCATTACATCGGGACTGTTCTGAGTGCAGCATTTCACAACTGCAGAATTCTGTAATCAATTGAATGGCTAAACAAACGTTTTCTTGAGCAATCGTCCTCGCTTGGCTAGGTTATACATAGTAAGCAGATGTAACCTGAGAAGCTCAGCATGTGCCGGAACGTGGAAGTAGGGATGAGATCATGGCTAAAAACCAAGTACGGTGGTGAAGGCGAGGCTGAAAGGATTCGAGTTCAAGAATGATTTGAGGATGGTGTGCACGTTAGACGGCCTGAAAATATGGCAATCAATGTCAAACACTGAATTAATGAACGGCTAGCCCATGGAGCTTTGGAAATACAGGTTGCTATTTCCCTTTGACGTCTCTAAGCTCCCGCCTGGGTGCACCGTTTGGACCCACTTGGCGCGTCGCTAAGCTTCTGGTCATTCCGGCTCGCTTAGCCACACAAGGAAGGCGCTAGGCGCAAACCAGCAGGTGTGAAAACGATCAACAGGTCTTCGGCGCTAAGCCGCCGGGTTGCGGGGATGATGCTACTATCGAGCGGGGTATCTCCACACCGTCTTGAGACACGGACTCTCCCACCTCGTCCCGAATTCTTGTCCAAAGTCTCCATCTGCTTCAGCCTTCAGCAAAGGGCCTCATTCAGATATGAGGTCCACTTTCGTTTAAATGGTCTCGTTTACGCTTGTTAAGACAGTCTTCGTTATGTTGGCAGCTCCCTCCCCTGCCGGTGCTCCCTTGCCGGTGAAATTTCAATCGGTTCAGTTCATCATTGGTCACCCAAGACGGACTCACTGAGCGCGGGTTTCATCACAAACGTTTCGGCCTGGCTAATTTTCCGAGAATAAGCCTGGCGAGCCCAGGAGCGTGCTCGAAGAACTGCCCGTCTATCCGTTCGGAGGTACACAATGTCTACACAATGCGCCTCGGCTGGTCTCCCTACCTTAAACACTCACACGTGGGCGGGCGGGCGTTGCCCCCACTGAGATCGTCAGCATTCAAGGGGGCTCCCGTCTATGATCTGGATCGAACCGTAGGAGCACGAGCCACTTGATACCGGAAAGCTTAGCTCTCGCGGCTCAAGCACGCCCGCAAGGACTACACAACCACCCAGCGTTGTGCTCCGCGAACTGTCAATACTTCATCTCCTCTCTCTCTCGTGCCTTTCAAAAGTTTTTGCTAGGGCCGCTCAGACAATTGTGGGCCTGATAAGGTCAGGGACCTCGAGAGACATCCTCTCATCAAGGATAAGAACTTTATAGATTAGAACATTCCGCTGTACGCCCCTGTTCTAATCTATAAAGTAGATTCATTTACTGATACTGTTAGCCAGGTAATATTCCCTGTTTTGTCTTGGCAGCCACAGCGAAGACTTTTGAAAGACACCAAGTCCGAGATCGGACGGCCCGTCCAACGTATCGCGTGGCGTATGATTGCTCCACTTCAGCAACGAATCCTCAGAAACAAATTGCCCACGCATTTCTTCTGGTTGCCGAGACTTTGGGCAGGACGTTTCGCGGCATGGCTAGATCGACGAGCATCGCTCTTTCTGGTACATAGAACCGACGCTTCTGCAGGCTGCCAAGTCCAGGATAATGCAACACCAAATCTGTACCTACCGCCGTCGCTCAAGTGTTATCTGATATCGCCAGCCACTGGACGAGGGGTAAACATTGAGCCTTTCCGTCCCAAGACATGGCGTCGAGCTCAAAGTGTCTTATCGTCCGTCTGTCTCTTCGAATGCTACATATTTCGTCCGTTGTGTCGCATTTCACAGACGTCCTTGACCAGACTGCTTCTCTTTTGCTTTCCGTTCCATAACTGATTTGCTTATTTTCTGTCTCACCCCTCTTCGCTCAGCATTTCTAGCCGGTTGCTGTCTGTCTGCTTTTGCGCTTCGATACCGTCAATTTTACGCTTTCCAACATCGGCCGGCACAGGCAGCTGACTCTTCTGCTTGCAAAGGCCCGCAATGAAGGCATCAGTCATGCCAGATAGGGTTGTGGAGTTGGCGCCCGCGTCCGTTGACGAGACCGTAGTCGTAGTCCAAGATGGGGTCCGGTTGAACGCCGCGGGCTACAAGGATCAGCTGAATCGTCAATATGGATTTTTTGGGCTGGCAAGCATGGCCCTGACGGTTGACAGCGCCTGGGTCGCCCTAGGCTCGTCCATTTCCGTGTCGATTCGTAAGTTTTATACACCGCCCGCTCGCTCATCAAGTCGGGACATCGTAACGAGCCGGGATCAATCTAGTCAATGGTGGCCCACCCGGCATCATTTACGGCCTAATTGTCGCCGTCTTCTATTACTCCCTCATCGGCTTGAGTTTAGCAGAGGTCAGTTTCTCGCAACCCAATTCTATCCCCACTTGTTTCGCAAACAATGTAAACCACGGTCCTGACACCCTCTTCCAAGCTTGCTTCGTCGGTCCCCACCGCGGGCGGCGTCTACCACTGGGCTACCATCGCAGGTGGTCCTCGCTGGGGGCGAGCCCTCGGTTTCTTCACCGGTTGGATCAACTTCTACGGCTGGCTTTTCTCGCTGGCATCCCTGATGCAAATCGCGAGCAATGTCGCCGTGAGCATGTACGCCGTGTATCACTGGGATGACTACGTCATCCAGCCCTTCCACGTCTTTATCGGATACCTCATCATTCTGTGGGGGTCTGCGGGCTTCACTGTATTCGCCAACAAGTACGCGCCATATACCCAGTATGCCGGAACGCTATTCGTTTTGATCGGCGGAGTCGTCACCATCATAGTGTTGGCCGCTATGCCGAAGCAACATGCGAGCAATCACTTTGTATGGGGCTCTTTCGACGAGAACAACGCCACAGGATGGTCTGGGGGCGTAGCTTTCCTCCTAGGCGTTCTCAACGGTGCCTTTACGATCGGGACTCCTGACTCGATCACGCACATGGCTGAAGAAATGCCGCACCCCAAAAAGGACCTCCCGAAAGCGATTCTCCTCCAGATATCCTTGGGATTTGTCTGTTAGTCTATAATTCGCCGATGTGCTAAACCATGACTGACTTGCGATAGATGCCTTCTGCTTCGCCGTTGCGCTTTCGTATGCCATCACGGACATCACGGCCCTCCAAGGCGGGTCCAACTCCTTCCCGCTGGCCAACATCTACGTGCAAGCCACTACGGGCAGCAATGGAGTCCGAAACCCAGGTGCAGCATTCGGTCTGCTGTTCATCGTACTGGGCTGTACGCTGACATGTTGCGTGGCCGCGAATTTGACGGTGAGCTAATTCTTCCCCAAGCCTGTGATGGCCTGTTTGCTGAATCATTTTCAGGCTTCGAGGACTTACTGGGCGCTTGCCCGCGACAACGCTGTACCTTTGTCAAGCGTCTTTGCACAGGTTAATGAGCGTCTGAGTTGTCCTGTCTGGTCAACTTTGTTTGTCTGTAAGTTGCTGCGATTTCGTTCTTCGTCCCCAAGTCTTTGGAGACTAATAAGTACTTTCCAGGTGTGGTCGCAACCGCGCTGGGCGCCATACCGCTCGGGAGCTCAACAGCTTTCCTAGCACTAACAAGTTCGTTCATCATTCTCACGACCGTATCATACGCCATCCCATTCGCGGCAAACATGCTCTCGGGCCGGAAGTACTTTCCTAGCGGGTCTTTCCACCTGGGCAAGGCAGGATACCTCATCAATGGCCTAGCCGTGCTCTTCATCGTCTTGTTTGACATTTTGTTTTGTTTCCGTAAGTTCTCGTCCGTCATAGTCTCTTCATCACGCCCTGACGAAATATTCAGCATTTGTGTTGCCGACCACGGTAGCAACGATGAATTGGAGCAGCGTCATCTTGGTGGGAACGGTGGCGATCACGGGGTTATGGTGGGCAGTCCACGCAGTCCATCATTATCCTGGGCCCAAAGTGATGGGGCTCTACATCGACACGGAAGGCGTGAGACCGATTGCTACAGAAAAGGATGTGGCGGCTGCTGCTTCTGCTTCATTGGAGTCGAAGGAACCTCACGCATTACAATGATAAACCTAGAGCTTAATGCCTAGGCGGGAGGGGGTTGCGCTGGACAAAGGTCGCTTCATAATAGAGGTTTGATATATTCTAATTAGTTAAATAATATTACCTTTAATAGACACAGCCTACGTAAATAATGCAATATTAATATTAACTTGACGGCAAATAGGCGCCTTCCGCTCTTTTTAAATAAAGCCCATTATGCTGGCAGAGCAGCCTTCCTTAGCTAAAGGTGCTGATCCAGCAGAGATCTCAAGGGTGAAAGTAAGTCTAACATTAACCACCTAAATTTGAGGGTTAAAAAAATGTTCCTTTACATTCATATTAAATACTAATACAACGAGGGGCCATACTACCAGCAGAGGGACCCCATAGGGACTCACCCTTCTGTGTGGCAGCCGAACAGAGCTCTGTCCAGCGCACCCCCTCTCCCGGGTAGGTAGAGAGAGATTCATATAGATCAAAAGCTGAATGAGTTCAATCCTTGTTTGACTGTTGAACTTATCGAAGAGGAAGAATCAACAGCGATCTGTGACCTTATCCGTTAGTAATTAATTGAAGCCTGTTGAGCAGACTGAAAGTCACACCGAGCGCTCGGTAAAGGGTATGGTGAATTGGCCAATCAGACACAGCTGAACTCATCTTACGGTACGTACCCCGGAATCCCGCAATCATGGATGCGTCATGGCCCTGCAGCTGCGTCTATCGATAAGAAATCAATCGCTCGCTGCGAAGAATCTCAAGCTCCCCAGGTTCCTCAGTCGCAATTCTCTTTCCTTCGCCGATTCTTCCAACCGCTTATCCTGCGCCTCCCCCGACTCCCTCGACTTCTGCCCAACCACCACACGAACCACATTTGACACAATGGGCTCTTCCTCATCAAAAGCTGCGCAAGGCGCCGCGCGCAAATTTCCGACCCGCGCTCCGGGCGCCGTGCCACCACCGTCTTCCGCCGTAAGAGCAGCTCCCGCTCCTCCTCCGGCGCAGCCCGCGCAGGCCCGGTCACAGGCAAAGGCGTCGGCCTTCACGCCAGAGGGTAAGGGTCCCCGTTGATGAAGGAACTTGTCCAGGTCAAATATGACGGGAAACCTTGAAGCTAAACCATTGCGACCTAGACGTCACCGCCGAATTCTCCTCGCGTCTCCGCCAAATGGGCGTCGTCCAGCCGAACCCGACCTTCTCCTCCACCTCAACCGCCGGCAGCCCCGTCCCCGGTCCCGGTCCCGGCCCGAGCCCTCACGCCGACCTCATTCAGAACCCCGGCCCGCTCTTCCCTTCCACCTACCGGAACGCGACGCTGGGCACCCTCGAAGCTCGCCGCCGGCTCCAGCAAGAGGCCGACGCCGAGTTTGACGGCCTGGGCCGCAGCAGCAGCGGCGGGAGAGAGTTTTTGGACCTCAAGACCATTATACAGATGCACCTGATGCGCGATAGAGGACACTCGCCTGCCGAGATTGAGGCGAGGTTGGATCTGAAGCCTGGCGTGGTGGCGAGGTTAGGAAGGCCTGGGATCACCTCGCCCGCCTGATTCGGCGTCCAAACAAAAAGGCCTCCAAGAAACATGTAAAAGATGTAAAAAGTGTATTTATAGGTATACTGCTCTACGAAAAACGAAAACTCCTCGACTCCTCCATAGTCTGGAAATAATTTCGACTAATCATCCAAAACCCCAAGAAATCATGAACCCGCTTTTTCTTTTCCGTCTTTTTGTCTCATTCTTCTCCACGTTTACCAGGCGCAGTGTCCGCCATCGATGCGCAGGTCGCTGCCGGTCATGAAGCTGCTGGCGTCGCTCAGCAAAAAGACGGCGGCCCCGCGGTACTCGCCGGGCTGGCTGAGCCTGTTGAGCATGTTGTGCTTGGGCCACTCGACCTTGCGCTCCGGGTACGTCTCGAACAGGGCCTCGACCATGGCGGTGACGATGTAGCCGGGCGAGATGGTGTTGACGCGGATACCGTGGGCACCCCACTCGGCCGCTAGGTTACGACCGAGCTGGAGAACGGCCGCCTTGGAAGCGTTGTACGCGCTGTGACAAGCATCGTTAGCCAAATTGTATTCCTGTGGAAGGAGTTGCGTGTTTGCGGCAAAGAGAAAGAGAAAAGCTTACGGGCAGATCAACCCCCTGTTGGCGACGGTTCCGCTCATGCTGGCAATCAAGACGATGCTGCCGCTGGTCCCGAGGCGGACCATCTGGCGCGCGACGGCCTGGGCGGTCATGAAGGAGCCCGTGACGTTGACGCCCATCATACGGTCGACGTCCTCGGCCTTGTACTCGAGGGCGGGCGTCTCCTGCTGGATGCCCGCGGCGGCGATGAGGCCGTCCATGCGGCCGTGCTGGTTTGCGATGCCCTCGACAATGTCGTTGAGCTGCGCGACGTCGCGGACGTCGACCTGGTGGTAGGACAGGGAGGTGCCGAGCTCGGCGGTGGCGCGGAGGGCGACCTTTTCAAAGTCTGGGTCGGGGGTGGGGAGGCGGTCGATTGCGTGGACTGGGGGGCGGGTGTTAGTCTTGAGCTTCGTTGACTTTGTAGGCAAACTTGGAGAGAGAGAGGGGGGTTTGCAAGAAAGTTTCGTTGTTACCTATTGCGCCGGCTTCGAGGAGAGCTTCCGCCTGCGTGAGGCCGAGACCACGCGCGCCGCCGGAGACGACAATGACCTTGCCCTGGAGGCTGAACTCGGGGAGGCCGCGGGCGACGGTGGGTGTGGTGGCACCGAGGCCGAGGGACTTGGGGGTCGAGTGGAAGCTTCTCTCCTGCGCCACGAGGGGGTTCGCGGGAGCTACGACGGGGGCTTCGACGGGTTGCACTGCGAGTCTGGATTTCCTTGGGGTCAGATGAAGTCCAATGAGACGGAGCGGCCGGACGCGGGATAGGTACCGTGACATGCTGCTGCTGGCTTCAACAAGAGCTGAAGGAGACATTTCTGTTTTTTCTGGTTGTTCCGGTATGCAGAGAACTACGGGTGAGAGACGAAGCCTTCTTCTTCTTTCGCCTTCAAGTGTTATTGAGTTGCGGCTGGTTCAGTGAAAGGTAGATGGACGACGGAGGTGGTTGATGGCTGGGTGAGTGAGGCTCAGACAGACCAAGATAGGAGGGTATCGGACCGAAAGGGTTGATGGTTGAAAGTCAATGGGAAGCTGGTAGAGATTACTTGTTGTCTATAAGAAGAGATGAGTGGTGAGAATTGTGAGTGAAAGTAAGAGAGACTTGGGAGGTAGGAACACATCGTGAAGTCGTCTTCTTATACATTGTGAAGGCTACCTTTTCCCTTTCCCAATGGGCTGAGCTTCCCCGCACCAACACCACCACCACGTCTCTCGTCTCATACGCTTCCACGCCTCCCCCTCCCCTCAGCGTCTCAGTTCCTCCCGTCATGCCATGCTCATGAGCAAGATCAAGATCAGCATAACCCGAGCACAATGGGCATCTGTTAGCACCAACGGGCTAGCGTCGGCCGAAGCGGCACGAACAAGGGATGATTGGACTGATGGAGCTGCGTATGGTGTGCTGTCTAGGATGGCTTGGTGTATCTCTCTGCCGGTCCCGGAAATGGAATGGTGACGAGACGCTGGGCTCGCTCGTGTGTGCAGCATGCGTAATGTGTGCAGAGTGTCATGTGTGCAGAGTGTCAAGCTCGAAGCTCACTTCGCCTCATCTTTTCTTAGAAGCAGACCCCAGTATCACCGTATCGATTTGCTGCTCGTTGGAGTCTTGTGCGGGACCTGCAAAAGTAGGTCGTTCGTCCACGCCGGCGGGTGCGTTTGTTGCATGGGCGCAGCATGGGCAGCAAAAGCTCCAGACTCTCTCTCATCGAGGGCTAGAACCTTCAAAGATGGGTCTGCCATGTTCGAGACAGGTCATGCGGGATGTCAGATTTCAGAATAGAGGTTGAACCCCCCCCTTCCCCCCGCCGCCTTGGCCCCTGTGTCTCTAATGTGCTAACCCCCCCATTCCAAACTGCTTCCACAAGCTCCGGGAAAGCAGTTGGACGCGCCCCCCAGTGATAGTCTGGTCTGTGCTGGAGGACATGGGGGCGGGCAATCGGGAAGACTCCACCTTGGACCCCTCCGCGCGGCGGAAACTCGACCGGTGCCCGCGGTGCGGAAAATCGGTTGGTTTACCGAAAGAACCACTCCAATGGCATGAAACGGAAAATGGTGATTCGTTGGGCTGCAGAGACACGACTTGCCTGAACTCTGAAAAAGGGTACAGAAAAGCTCAAGGGTAAGCTCTCGTGGGGCTTGGCCCATTTCTCATTTCCAAATTCATCTCTGGCGCTGGGTCGAACACGCCATTGGGACGGAACTGCGGGTATTGTTTCTCAAAGAGTCAGAGTTGCCTCGTGAAGCTTCGTAAGAATGAAAACTCGAGGGACCTGAACTGGGTCTGAAGTTCTGAACTGCAATGTAGGGTCCAGGGACCAGAACTAATCTCCACCCCATCATCGTCCCTGTCTGAGAGTTCCAGACCAACACAAAGTACGTTGCCAAGGCCAAGTTGCCTTGGCTGCGGAAACCTACACGCACACATCCACATGGCCACTAGACACTTGGACCCAGAAACTAGAGTTTTGAGCAGTGGGGAGACAAGTTGCTGCGTCCGGGGGAGAATGCGGAGTGCAGTGTTGCTTTGCGCATGCGGACCAGGTCCACCGGATTGCTCCTTTGGGAAATCCGAGCTGCTCATCCCTTTCATCCCTCCTCATCCCTACCTCACTGTGTACTCCATGCCGACCAAAGCTCAGAACGAGCATCAAGTTACTTTCCTGATGTGACGATGTATGGCGTATCTTGGCCTGCGCCACCAACAAACTGGAACCCAACAAAATGAAAGAAAAAAACAAATCCCAAAGATCGGTCAGCAACCTAGACAACCAGACACTCAAAATGTCTGATGTCTTCGTGACGCCGCAGGATCTGCTCGCCCCCCTATTCTGTGCTTCATACGGATATCCCGTAAGCCGTCCCGGGCCGCAAGTCCGCAACCCAAACCTCCGAACGAGCAACGCGCAAGCCTACGAGGGTCCGACGCTCTCGTGACTCCCGTGACTAGACCGACATTCCCGGCCAAGACCAGAAGACCACTTATCCTCCAACCTCTGCACCCCGGCGTCGCCTCCCTCCCTGGAGATCCACCGCTGCACGCCCCAAAAGGCCTTGAGGCACGACATCCCAGCGCAAAGACCTCGAACCCGGTCGGCAGCCCCATGACGGCCATCTTCCTCCTCGCCAACTGCCCCTTTGCGTCGGCCGCCGCGTTCGGGGTCGCCACCAGCATCACCCAGAAGAGCATCCCACGGATCCTTTTCCACTTCGTCATGCTCACGTGTAGCAGGGCAGGATACGTGTCTTGGGACACCTCGGCGTCGTAAAAACGCGAAATCTGACGCAGTGACTTGATGGACCGGCTGTAAATCGGAGCGGCGATCCTGACGGTCTCAAGGATCCGTTCCTTTTCGGAGGCGACGATGGCGACTGGGTGGGTCTTGCTGCTGCTGCTGCTGTGCCTTGTTCCCGCAGCTTCTCGTACAGCCACGATGCGGTTGATCGGATCTTTGTTTTGCTGGCCGCCGACGCTGATGCCGATGTGACGGAATCCGTGAGGAACCGCACGTCTTCCAGAATCTTGGCCGTCGCGGCGTAGATCCCGAGCTTTTCTGCGATACTCTCGAATCGTGATGAGGATGCCAGCAAGGGGCTGTCGTAGCACTCTGGCCAGATCGTTGGGGACGGTGAGCGCTTCATACCGGGCCGGTTCGTGGAGGTCTGTCTCAAAGACACAAGCAATCTCATAATCGGTTCTTCCCGGCCATCAGTCAGACTTCTATTAATTTGACACAAACTAACATTTGCTTATAGGTTCATGATTCACTCGCCTACAATGTCTCTCAGCCCTCGCATGCCTTTTCGAAGGCTAACTATGCGCCTGATGCCTCTCATGTGAGCGAACATGCTTTCATCGGTACCCCAGAACCACTTGGATGAGAGTCAGGTTCTTGTTAGAAAACTTGAAAAAGCTGTCCCTCTGAGATGAATTTGAGAAGTTGAACTTGCCTCCGTAGCGACCAAGTTCATGATGCACCGGACCAGCTCAACCGCGATAGCGTCAAACGGCCGCCATATGTAGTCTGCAATCATAGACAACACCCAGGACTTGAGCGCGAGCCACTCCGGGCTCTTTGCGATTTCCACCCCTCCTTCGAGCGACTGGGTGGTCGATGCCATGAGGATTTCAATGTTGTCAAACCAAGAGGATTGAAGCATCTACTGCAGAACCTCCTTGAGGAACACGGGCGGCTGGCTCCGGCCATCGATCGAAACCATGTTCGGTGCGACGAATTGAATGTCTGTGGGCGGATCCGTCAGCACATCTTCTGTGGCGCTTCAAGGGTGATAATCACTGATAGTCTTACAGAAATTCAAAGGCTCTGTTGTTCTAGGTCGCTTCAGGGAGTGGCAGGCCATGCAGAGTCATTACTTCTATGAGGATACCACCAATGGTCGCAGAATTGTTATGGAAGAAGGACAGGGGGCTCACCATCTCCATCGAGGAAGAGGTTAACGCGAGCCTTTCCCCTCACCACTGCCCGTTCTTCTTCTCGATTGCATTTGCAGCAGTATCCTTCTAGCCGTGCGTGGTCATGGCCTGTCATGGATTTCTAACTGAGCTCTTGCCTGCAGCGAGTTCGGACTGCTAGTCTTCCCGGTAAGTCCAGAGAAGATATGCCAGGCAAAGCGGTGGAACAACGGCCGCGTGATGGCGCCTCTGCCTGCTTCCCTGATCTCGCGGGGAGCGAGGACAGCTCAAAGATGAGGACCTGCGTCTCTTAGGCCGGCTTGGGGATACGTGGCTTGACCTGGCTGATGATATACTCCACGTGCGGGAACCGTCTCGAGCAATTGACGCACTACGCTTCGGGCTGTCGGATTTTTCACTACGACCTCTTCTTTATATTTAGTTCTGCATGAAGTCGATGAAATTTGAGTGATCAGTTTCGGGTCGTCCCGGGGCATGTGATAACGTTACACGGCGGTTGGACAAGTTTTGATATGTGATCAGCTTTGTTAAACTCCCCTTCTGCTTCCGCTTCTGGGATGCACGACTTCTGGATCCTATCCCGCCAGTTCGGGGGCGAAGGCGGCTTGGACGACTCAGAGGCCATGATAGTTGGTCATGGTTCTCAGCTCAGCATGTTGGGGCTGAGGCAGAGATGGAGGGGACAGAGAGCATCTAGATCGGTCCTGTGAACCACTGATATGCTGTCAATTCAGTCACGGCTGAAGTTGAATGAGATTTGGTCATGTCTCGATTGGGAGATAGCATAGGATAAGCCGAGCAGCCACGTTTGATATCCTCGTAATACATATTGCGCTACTTCATGTTTTCTTTTTTGGATTGATGCATTCGGTACCTTATTCCCCTCACCCACCGGCAGATGGCGCGCTTACTCGCCACGTGCTTGCATGAAAAGGCTGTCAGACAGATCTGTGGTGAGATGACGTCCAGCGGTGAGACGGGGAAGATGCGAGATGAATCTAGCGCCTTCGACAGTTTTCGTGCCTAGTAACCCGCTAAAAAGAATGAGGATGTTTTTCTATAATAGAACTGCTATTCGCATCACGGCATTTGCCTCCCTTCTTTCGCCATCAAGCGACTCCAGTGAATTGCATTTAAGCACTCAATTACAATCATGACCGATCAGACGGCACCTACTGTTAGCGGCAGCTGCCTCTGCGGCTCGGTCAAGTACACCGTGGCCGGCGGGTTCGGATTCGGGGTTCTCTGCCACTGCAAAAGCTGCCGCAAATTTACAGGTTCGTCGTTTGGCGCGAACAGCTTGGTGGAGACAAAGGTACGATAAAAGACCTCATCATCTCTCTCATTATCCTATCTGCCAGTTGCTAACCCGCTTACTCAAATTCAGAACCTCACTGTCGCCGATCCCGAGAAGAAAATCCAGGTCTACAAGGCCAAGACGTCCAACTCGGGCAGGCCGCTGGCCCGCTCGTTCTGCAGCGCCTGCGGCTCTTCGCTCTTTGTCGCCAGCGACGAGGACCCCGGCCGGATCGCCGTCACGTCCGGCACGATGGATGACGCGCAGGGCGTGGAGGGTGTCGACGGCGACAAGCTGTGGAAGCCGAATTTGGAGTTCTTCTGTGTACGCAAGGCGAAGTGGTTGACGACTGAGGGGACTACCCAGAAGGATATGATGTGATGGTGGATGTAACATCATCTCAGTCTCAGATGGCCTCGGTATTATTGATGTTTATGGCGGGTGGGAACTAATTACACGATAAAAGTAGCTTCGTCTGGGCGGTCTCGTTCCATCTCCTGACTCAGATGCAATTCAGAGGTAGGGCAGAAATTTTCTCTGCCTATGGTCGAAAGCCTGGCTCGCAATCTTTGGTATGATGGATCTTTGTGCACTAGACTGCGTGCGTTGAAATCGGCTACAAGCCATCTGCGGGCTCATACTATCGGCACCATCGGCCGTGTCGAGCGGCGGCGTCGGCTCCATCTTTTCGAGTGGAGATCGCCTCCTCCGGTCGGGAACGGCCTGTGATTGCTGGAGAAACTTGGGCCGAGCTCAAGCGCCATCGAACATCAGCGAGCTGCCGGATGGAAAGCTTCTTATGAATAATTACGATAGGAATTCTTCCAACGATCATTATTTCCATCTTGGCATTGCCAATCTAGATGTAACATCAGTCTCCTTTGACATCGTCAAGATGACCTCTCACGAGGATGGACCAATCTTTCTTAATCCCATAATTCCGGGTTTCAACCCAGACCCGACGATCTGCGTGGTTCCGGCGACAGATTCAAGCCCTACAACGTATTTTCTATCGACTTCCACATTCGAATACTTCCCAGGCTGCGCCATATATACGTCAACGGACCTCATCAACTGGAAGCTCATCGGGCACGCACTCACTCGCAGAAGCCAGATTGAGCTGAGGACCGTTGAGCCGGGAGCCGGGAGCTGGGCGAGCACACTCCGCTATCGACCCCAGGAGAAGCGCTGGTATCTTGCCAATGGGATCTTTCAGAGGTATCGACCGACAAGTGATGTGAGAGGAACCCGTTTTACTGGACTTTTGAGGCAATGCTCATACATCATTCGTTCAGGAGCGCATCTTCCCACGGGGGTTCTATGTTTGGACGGACAATATCTGGGACGAAAGCTCCTGGTCAGACCCTGTCTACTTTGACAATCCTGGATTCGATCAAGATGTGAGCAGCTTGCGTGATCCAGACACCAGCACAGCTAATCAAAGTTCCAGCTCTTCTGGGACGACGATGGAAAGGTTTACCTCTCCACGACAGTCCGCATGGGAAAGCGGACCCCTGGACTCAAGTTGAAAGACTTTGCCATTCACATTTCAGAAATTGACATCACCACGGGAAGAACCCTCACCCCGCCGCAGGTCATCCGCGAATCCCCACATGGAATCGCCGAAGGATCACACATCATCCGCAGGGGCAAGCACTATTATCTCTTCACCGCCGAAGGCGGCACGGAAGCCGGCCATCAAGAGTGGGTTTTCAGAAGCCAGACTAGTCCATACGGACCATGGGAAGGGCAGGGCAAGGCTCTGTGGTACAATGGGCCCAGCGAGGAGGTACAAAGGACCGGCCACTGCGATGTCTTTGAAGATGGCGGCGGTAGGTGGTGGGCTGTGCTGCTCGGCGTTCGCCCCGTGAAAGTCGGGGATGGATATCTCGAGCCGCAGATGGGCCGGGAGACGTTCCTAGTGCAGGTGGACTGGGAGGACGACTGGCCAGTCTTCAACAAGGGCCGCAACATTACACTCCAAACCGTCGGCCGAGAGCTGATTCAGAAGGCTGCTGTTGCTGATGCCGACGGGATCAAGTGGAAGGCAGACCTATCCAGATCCTCCCTTGAGATTGGCTGGTATCAAAAGAGTGAGTTTGGGATCCGCGGCCTTGCTCTGCAGGCTGAAGCTGATTCTCTGTCCAGATACGCCGATCAAGCCCTGTCATAGCCTGACGGAGCGTCCGGGCTTTCTGAGGCTCTACGGAAACTGCTTCGATCTCAAAAGCCCCGAGTCACCAGCACTTATCTTGAGGAAGCAGACATCATACAACGAGATATTTAGGGCTAAGATGCACTTCAAACCCAGTCGGGCAGGGTATGAATCTGGCATCACGGTATGGTGGAGCCAGTACTCCTATGCCACCATTGGCATTGGGGCGGTCCAACCAGAGGATGGAGGGCCTGCCGTCACAAAAATTATTGCGAGGGAGCCTACGGGCAAGATAAATGAACTGAAGGTATGTAATGGGTCATCTAATCACTTTCAAAGCTATTTCTCATGACGAAAGGTCACGCATCCCCTAGCAGATGCTGCAGCATCCTCCCTTGGTTTGGATCCGGCACAGCTGTCCATCACCACCAAGTCCTCCGAGTATGAAATGAGTCTATCAATTGGTGAGATTCAGACGAGTGTCAAATTCACATCAGAAGCGTTGACTGTCTTCCCTCCCGTCGGAGGGGCTTTCTGCGGCGTCATGTACGGCATTTATTCATTCGGACAGAGTGAACCGGTGCTTGACCCTTCGGATTTTAGGGACATTGAAATCCTGGAGGCTTGATAGTCAATGTTAACATGATCAAAAGATCCTCCAATGTTGCTCTGTAACCTAGTTCCTCATTACCTGCCCTCTTTGGGACGTCAACCTGTCTGAAGCCACAAAGAATGAAAAGCCTGAAAGACATTCTGTGAACCTGGAAAAGCTTGGGCTGGGTCGTATTGGTAAATAAACTTCCTCCAAAATGATCCCTGGATTTCATCCCAAGTCACTTTGAGTTAAAAGCAATCTCATATCGAGGCGAGAGATGAGCTGCAGCATCCACACAGACCCCCCTCTCGGACGCCCTTGACCTTGGCGTCGCGGATCATCAAGAACCGCGAATGCTACTCTCAATTCTGGTGTAGGCTTCTCTCCGAAAAGCCTAAGCGTGCAGGTATGAGATTCTCAGAGTATCGCTTTGACTTCCTTGTTGCAGTGGCAAGTCAAACCGATTCCTTCTAGATTATTTGTTGCTCGGGAGGCTGGAGCATGTAACCGATGCGCTTGGTAAGCTATGACTTTGGGTGAGTGTCAAGTGAGATGAATATACATCTACATACCGTAGTCACAAGTCTTCGACGATCGTATAAAATAGCTGTCTTCTACTCAAGAGACTGATCATCATATTCTTCGAGAAACTCTTCCTTCAATCAATAGGCAGTGACTCCTCTTTACTTATACTGCTTCAGCCCACGTCAAAGAGTTGCTCTGTCACCATGGCATCTTTTATCAAGTCGAAGCATCTTGAGACATACCTAGAGAGATAATGTCATCTTTCAAGCAAAGAGTTTGCCGATAGGATAATTCTCATAAGTGGAGATGACTCCGGCATAGGGGCCACCATAGCCCGCTCCTTCGCCGAAGCCAGCGTCGCAAAACTCATTCTCACCGGCCGCACCGAGTCCACTCTGCAAGAGACATCAGCCGCCCTCCAAGCGGACTTCACCCACCGAGAAATATCCCACCACGTATATAGCGTACGACTTTCATATCCCCGGTATGAGCGGCTACGGCGCGAGCAAGGCTGCGATGCTGCGCCTGGCGGAGGTGGTCACCGATGATGTTCCGGCGTCCGAGGCGCGCATCGTCTCTGATCATCCTGGTGCGGTGTAGTCGGGTATGTTGGTCAAGTCTGGGCTGAAGCGGAAGATGACGGATGGGTACCTTAGGTTGAGGGGGATTTTGTTGTTTGGAGTGCTTCGGAGGGGTCGGCGTCTCTGAATGGGCGGATGGTGTAGGTGAATTGGAACGTTCCCGAGTTGATTTTATGGAAGGGTGTTTTACTTGAGAAGGATCTGTAGATGACCAGCATCAAGGAGTAAAAATTACGTGGAAGCTTTCTGGCTTTGTAGAGGGCTTGGAAGATCTTCTTATATAAGCGGTATGGTCGGTCAAGATTTGTGTCAACACGGTGTTTGACATCCATTCCAGAAAACGTGCCTCGGCGTCATTCGTGTTTTGGTCAAATTCTTATAACGTCTTCAAGTTTGTTTTCGCAAGCTCTTTCCCTCCCTTGCTGCTTAATTATGAAGACATGCTTGCCAAGTGAAGGTTCTCATGCCAGTATTGGTGCAAGGGTTTCTCGGTAGGAGAAGTTCACGTGGCATCTCGTTTCAGTCTAGCTAATTTTGGCATAAACATCTTTTGTTGTTTGCTAAGCGTTGAATCGACTTGAGAACAAGTACCTTCATTCTTGGTATTCAAGCAGTACTCCCATCTTCAACTAAAGTATGCAGCCTCACTGATTGCAGATCATACGGACCTCTCAAATTCAAGGGTGAATATGTACAACGAATAGAAGGCTATCTAAGGGTTTGATCAAACGAACAACTTTGATGTGATGATCAACCACTACATTCTCACACGACAATACAGTAAGATGTCTACTAGCTAACTTCGGCGACGTGATTGGTGACCAAGCAAGTCCACTCATCGGTACCGTAGTAGATGGTGTTGCCATCGTTGTGCGTCTGGCCGGTGCTGATGGTGTCGCCCAGCTGCCAGAAGGCGTCGCCGGCCATGCCGGGGGTGGCGACGGAGGCGAGCTGCCACGGCCTTTCGAGCGCGCAGTGGTTGGATGGCGCGCCATCTAGTGTTTACATACTTGATCAGTTTCTTTGTCTGTATAACACTTATCAAAACGTCTGATTTGCGACTCACATTCTTCGAAGAAGCAGGGCTTGTTCGCGGCAACGCAGGCCTTTGCGTGGTCAGCCACCCACTTGCTACCAGTGTCGTATGCAACACCCCCTGTATATCGTCAATAAGCTTTTCACCCATTCTCCAGAAGAGCGGTTAGACCTACATGAGTTGGGGTAGAAGTGGAACGTTCCGAAATCCCTAAACACAGATCGAGCATCAGCATCGCAGATACCACCACAGAGATAGATCATGCTCAAGGGAGTACTAACAAGGTAGTAATGTTCAACAGACCAACCCAGTCTGTTCCCTCGCCAAATTGATAGGGGTAGGACGTGTCGCCAGGGAGACCCATGCCCTCGTCGCCGAGAGTCACCATGTGGTTGGGGTCGAGCGACTTTACGTATTCGGACGTGGACTTGGCCCAGTTGTAGATGACAGAGGTGGCGCAGCCCTGGCAGCGGGGCTCGTTGGCCAGCTCCCACGCGAAGATGGCGGGTGACGCCTTGTACCGGTTGACTACGGTCTGGACATACTTGAGGTACTGGGTCTGGGCCGCCGTGTTGGTGTACCAGCCGTTGTGGTCGCCTCCGAAGGCGTTGATGTAAGCGCTCATTCCACCATAGTCGTCCCTACAACTACATCAGACGAGGAATAAACAGCAGGCGCTTTGGCAGGAACTCACCAGTTGTTGACAAAGTTGATGATGAGCTTGATGCCATTCTTCTCGGCGGAGGCCACGACGGTGTCCAGACGTCCGAGGCCGTTGGCGCCAGTGTTGATGGTCGAGCCCGAGGCACTCAGGTATTGGAACCCTTTTAAGCTTTAGCCTCAAGAGACAATCGAGAAATAAGCCCTGAAAAACTCATACAGTTGTCACTCTGTGGGATCGTGTTGACATCGCTGAACCCCCAAATACGAAGGATCCTGAGACCCGAGGTCTTGAGATGGCCCAGAACAAGGTCCACGTCGGCCGCATTGGTGAGGAAACTACACCAGTAGCAATTCGTGCCGGGGTAGTACTTGGTCACGCCGTCGATGCTGAACTTGGTGCCGACGGCCTTGGGGACGCCGGTGCTGGGCGGGGCCGTGGCCGTGGACGTCCGGGACGTTGTTCCGACGGACGATGTGGTTGCCGCGCGGGTCGAAGTCGCGAGAGTGCTGGAGCGGGATGTCGTTGTCACCGCAGTGCCTGATGGACACTGTAAGTTTCTCGTACATCACTGCGGCGAGCGTCATTGAAGAAACATACCGGGGAGGCACTGGGAGTACCACTGGCTGCTGTATGTGCAGACCGATCCGGCAACACATGTCGTTGCTCCAGTCCAACTTTGACCGCCGCATTGTCCATACAGGGGCGCCTGTGCAGAGACAGCGGCCGCGAGGGCGAGCGCACCAGCGACAGCGGACTTCATCTTGGAATCAATGTGTCAATGCTGTTTTTTGATTGTGAGGAGATACTGAGATTCATTTGAGATACCGGTGGGATGACCGCTATATTTGTATTCCAAGTTCAGAACTCCGCTTCGCAGCACTGTCATGTCCGGAAGCGCCTCGCCGGATCGACGTCTTCCATGGCCCGCTTCGAAAGGCCTGTCATGTTGAGACTTTTGAAATTCCATCAATAGCGTCTCGGGAACACGTGTGAATGTAGCCATGTCTCACGGTGCTGGGTCCTTGGATCGACTAGACTAGTCTGCTCCGCAAATCGAGAGGATGGGCATCCAGGAGGAGATGATGTGGAGGGCCAGGACGGTAGGAATGAGCATACGTTCAATTCAGCTCCGGTGACAGGTGGGCCGACAGGCCCAGCGCAACCGTATTTCTGCATTGTATTGCATATTTTGGGCAGTCTATCGGATGCTCCAAACGGAACTACCGGGAACCGGACACCCACGATCTACGGTTGCGAATCCCGTCAATCCACCACGCAGTTATTCCAGTGTGTAAGTACGTGATGGAATGCAATCGACAGCCCTCCCCGCAGCCACGGCATCAACTTTGGCAATCGCGGTAGGGAATGAGAAGCGATAGCGAGGTCAGTGGCGAGATATTGTGACCTAAGTTTTCTCAAGAAATGTAGTAAAACAAGAACGAGGCAGATTGCCTTTCTTGGTGTAAGTTCCGCCTCGACATATGGGGCTGCAACGGCGGAGCGTCGTTCGCCGCAACCCGCATTCGAACATGGTCACCGTCGTCGACCCCGCTAATGGACAATGACCACGCCGAGCCCTCTTCTGATATTTACCCTCCAAAAGATTCAAACGATAGCATCAAATGAATTCTTTCTTTGTTTGAAGGGGATATAAGCCGAGAATCCCGTCTTCCAAACTCAGAAGCTACCACTTGTATGACTTTTGTGCTTCATCATCGCAGCCAGAATCGACAAGTCAAGAATTACACCATCTCAAGCTCAACCATGCTTGATTAGATCACTCAAGAGAAAGGTCGGGAGAGCCGAATGAAAGGTCGATGAAGCGCTGTAGAGAATACGGGATTCAATGTTTCTGATACAACGCAAACTACGTTCCTTCTTGTGCGAATACCGCCTATCTGCGTAAACCTACCTTGGAGGAAAGCACGAATGATACTTATATCGCTTCACCTGCCCTCCTCATCAAGTGCCTGGGGCATGGGGTCAAGGGATTATAAGAGGGGGCCATGTAACGATACCTATGGTACTCGGTCATGCACAACCGTCGCTTAACCTTTTGTTCGGCTCCCTGTGACTCTTTTTTGCTTTTTCTCAGCATGCATCTAGGAGTTATTGATTCACAGTTTCAAATGTGGCCTATTCTCTTCTTTCTGGTGTATCTTGAACAGAGTGAGTTCTCTTCTCGATGCCTCTCATTCTTGTTTGAAAAAAA